GGTGTGCCACCAGAAGCCATACATATTATGGTACAGGAAAATCCTGAAGTCACCAGAAAGGTATTAAATGAGCTCCTATACAACCAAGAATTCCCAGACCAATTGAAGATTGCAAATTTAGTCTTAATCTTAAAACCTGGTAAACCACCAGACGGGCCTAGTTCATACAGGCCTATATGTTTATTAGATTGTATTGGGAAATTCTATGAAAGCCTCATAAAACGCCGCCTTGAACAGGAGCTCTTAAACACAGGAGCTATTTCTGACCAGCAATACGGTTTTAGAAAAACACGATCAGCTATAGACGCGGTAAAATTTATATGTGATACAGTCAAACAAACAAGAAATAAATGGGCAATCCTTGTTATGTTCGATGTAAAGAATGCCTTCAATTCTGCCAATTGGCATACATCATAAGGAAACTGGAAACCGCTGGAGTGTCAGACTACCTAATAAATATAATTAAAAATTACCTCACCGACAGATATATTAAAGTGGCAAACAAAGAAAAAAACAAAACTATCGGCTGGAGTACCGCAGGGATCTGTATTAGGTCCAACGCTGTGGAACATCTTGTATAACACAGTATTGGAAATAGATTACGGCAGAGGTGCGTCAGCAATTGCATATGCAGATGACTTAGCAATACTAATAGAGGGTGACACAAACTTGGATGCAATAAATAAAGTTAATATATGCTGGAGAAAAGTTAATAGGTGGATGACAACTAACGACTTACAGCTGGCGTGTAAAAAAACAGAGATAATTATATTAAAAGGGCCTAGAGCGATACCCAACCTGACTTTCCAATTTGCAAGTACGACGATAGTCCCAACCAATTGTGCTAAATATCTAGGCATACACCTTGATACAGGTCTACGATTTACCAAACACCTGATAAATGTAGTCCAAGCAGCAGAACGCAGAACAGCGGCCATTATGAAAATAATGCCTAATATAGGAGGGCCAAGTAATTATAAAAGAAGAATGTACTTGCAAATAGTGCATTCGACCCTTTTGTACGGTGCCCCCGTATGGATTGAAGTCTTAAGGTTGCCAGGTACAAAGACTTGATTACAAAAGCTCAAAGAAAGCCCCTTCTTAAAGTAGTTAGTGCGTACCGGACTACATCTACGATAGCCTTACAGGTGATTGCTGGTACGCTCCCCATTCACCTCCTAGCGAAAGAAAGAGCCATCCTATACAATAACGGCAACGGCCACCTGACACAGGTAAGAGACGAAATTAGGAACCAGATCCTTGATGAATGGCAATCTGAATGGGAGGCACAAAGGGAAAAAGCACAATGGACTAAAATACTAATACCCGATGTAAAAGCATGGTACAAATGTAGGTTCAAGAGAATAAACTATTTCTTTGCACAATTCCTGACCGGACACGGCTCTTTTAGGTCGTATACATACAGAATTAAAAAAACAAATGACGATATCTGTATGGATTGTGGTGTGACTGATGACGCGGAACATTGCATTTTCGAATGTAATGTCTTTCTACAAGAACGTCAAAGACTGAGAATTAAGCTAGGAGAGGCCACGCCCAATAATATACTGGACTTAGCTATGCAGAACAGTAAGAACTATGATTATGTGTTAGAAATAATAACGGAAATCATAAAAAAAAAGGAGACGCTAGAAAGAGCGAGACAGGATGAAGGAATAGGCTGAAAGACTAATAAAATAATTGTAATTCGCGTTTTTTGCTCATTAGACACATACTTCAGCGTTCTGTACTAATTTTATAGTGTAACTGTCCTATTTATTTACTTATATTGTTTTTTATACTGTCATTATGTTACTCAGCTACCTTTGAGACTCTCTACCGAGGACTATACTAGGTTTTCGTGAAAATTGGAGACCGCGGTGGTGCTCCCGAAGTTGCATTCGCCAAGAAAAGTTCCGGGTGCGCTGCTGGAAGAGAGGGTGAGTTTAGTTGGTAGGCGCCTGAACTAACCTTATCAACATTCCAACGTTATAGTTCAGACGAATCCAACAGTATCTGGGTCCTCTTCCCAGATCTCTTTAGAAGATTCTCATCCAAAAAAAAAAAAAAAAAGGCTGATGAGACAGTGGAATATGTTCTGAAAAACTATCCATGGTTGGATTGGATAAGGCTAATACATTTGAGAATTATTTATTTATCAACGGGCAGTCGCCCAAGTCAAATGCAATGTAAACATTATTGATAAATTACAGTTGATTCTTAACATAACCTACTTAAATTAAAATTAAAAATTTTAATCATACAAAAAATAAAAGTTGGAACAGTAAATAACGAACATTAACAAAGAATGTACAATACATAAGGATGCTATCACACACAGTTCTTAAGCTGAGCTTTAAATTCTTTTGGAATACTATAACAATCCAACTTTGGGAATAATGATTACTACTACAACCTGGGGATGAGCCAAAATATACCTCCTAGATCAAGTGAAAGGGTGTTAAGCGCACACACTCATATTGAATCTAGGTTAAGTTTTTTCCTCGTGTAATTCCAAATGTGACAGCCGCCACTGCTGTCAAATACGATAACTTTAATGTAATGAGCACCAAACATAGGAATTGAAATATGATCTGGAAGAAGATAACATTCTTAGCTGCGCAATATCAGAGACTTGTTAATTCAGCAACGAAGAAGATGAACAGTTGACCAAGTTAAAACAGTTAGTGACAGATGCTAGCAAAAATGGGTTGCAATTAATCATTGGCTGGGATGCGAATGCGTACCATCTGAACTGGGGAAGTACAAACACCAAACTGTTAAAAAGTGGCATATCTTAGATGAGGTGTCTTGTTCAGACCATCGAGACATTTTGAAATATCAGACAATGAGCATATCAAAGAAACGTATCGTAATCTTCGTAAAACAAATAAGGAAGCATGTCAAACAGACCTAGAATATTTTTTAGTTAAGATTAAAGGGACGATAAGGCATACAGGTCCATAAAATGGAGGAGATATGCTATTAAATCAATTAAGGAAACTGTTTAATCTATGTTTGCAACAGAGAGAAGTGCCCAAAGAATGGAACAATGGTATAACCATCCTTTTATATAAAAAAAAGGAGATGGAACGGACCTAGAGAATTATAGACCTATTAGCCTGTTGAACCACATATACAAGCTCTTCACTAGGTTAGTAACATCAAGATTGGAGAAAAAGTTAGGTTTCTACCAACCGAGAGAGCAGGCAGGATTCCGATCAAATTATGGTATCAATTATCACCTCCATACAGTAAAATCTATAGAATACAACAAACCTCTCGTCCTCACTTTCATAGATTTTCATAATGCGTTCGACACGATCGAAATAGACAGTCTTATAGAAGCAATGAATGACGGCAGGATTGACCATAGGTATAGTGTACTTATTTACAATATCAACAAGAGAAATCAAAAGATTTCTTAGCCTAACCTAGCGAAACTGAATTCAAATCTTTAGCACTGTGCTTTCTACAACTTGTGAAGCAAACATATTGATAAGTAGTAAACAGCTCTGGTTTCATGTAGTGAGAATAGAGCCCCAGATAGTAAAATGCAAGGAGCAAGACAAAAAGAAAGGCCACAAAAGGTGGGATGATGAAATGGCAGAGGACGTGCAAGATTTGCACGTGAGAACTTGAGGAACATTGGCAAGGTCCATGGCATATTTTGTAGAAGGCCAAGGCTGGATTTCGGCTGTAGTGCCATTGAGGGGAGTTATATTAATATTTACAAATGGAAAATTTTTAATGAAAACTAATGAATATACACTCCCATTATTCTTCCTTTTTTTATGCATGCAAGTCTGCATCAGTAAGTTTATTTATAGTGAGAGGTAGGAATTTTTGTTTTGTATGTTTCCGACAATTAATTTGTCAAGATATTCCAAAGTTTGAGTGATCGACAAATGTTCTATAACTATATGAAGTATAATCTGTGATCGATAATGATGATTGTATATATTTCCGTTATTTTTATATTATTGGTCAAATTCGCTACAGTTTGACCTACTAAAGGTCGATTCAGACACATCAGTCACGTCTCGTCACCATCTCGTCACAGTGATTGCGCCGAATCGAACAATCCGTCATACAAAATATTCTTTAATACAAATATGGCGCCGGCATTCACACTCATCAGTTGACGAACAGTTTGCCAGCTGTCAGATAGTTGATAGTTCTGTGACCAAACAGGACCGGTTCGGTACCGTGACTGTGACGTGACTGATGTGTGTGAATCGACCTTAAGACACATCCGAACCGGTCCTGTTTGGTCACAGAACTATCAACTATCTGACAGATGGGAAACTGTTCGTCAACGAGGAATGTGAATGCCGGCGCCATATTTCGTTTGGTTCGGCGCCAGGACTGTGACGAGACGTGACTGATGTGTCTGAATCGACCTTAACTGTCATGAAACAATGTCCACAAGGTAAACTAAATTCTTCTTCAATGATGATGGTAATATTTAGCGTAAATTATAATATTAAAATTAATATCAATTAAAATAATAATAATTCAAAACGAATTTTTAAATAATAATAATTCAAAACGAATTTTTATTAAATCGGCAATAAACTTATGGGATTTGATGTATGAAGAGTAACATATTTTCTGGCGTTATTGTTCTCGGTGTAGATCATAGAAAAAGTAATTTCATGTGTCTGATTTTAATTCGAGTTCTGTGGTGTAGACCAGGGATTATACACTGTAAAAATTTTAACCATTTTCCAGTGCATAAATTTCCTATATACGGAAATTTCACTGAGTTACAAGCAAAAATTCTTTTAGCATTTAAAAATATGTATAATTTAGGTGATATTATTACTGGTTTTTACATAGTAATTTTACCTCATTTAATCAGGATTACAATTTCATTGTATCTAAATCAGCAGTTTTACTACACATTTTTTACAATGTAGAATTTGTACTACTTGTTTTGGGGTGGTGTGCTGTGCTGTGGATCTGTCAGCAACTGTCAGTGTCAACTTTAGGTCTACGTCATTTTGATCTTTAGAACAGTGAGTAATATAAATTTTAATTTTAAAAATAGATTAGAGCCACATCAGAGATTGTTCAGCTCTTTAAATAGCTATAATTACCAATCTCTCTCTTGTTATTTCGTTTTAGTTAACCTCATTCCAAATCGCCAAGATGAGTTTGCAGTGGACAATTATCGCCGGGTTTTTGTACGCAGAAATCGCAGTAGTACTCCTTCTGGTACTCCCTGTTGCTTCACCAAGAAGATGGAATTCTTTCTTCAAATCGAAGTTTTTGCAAGGATTACAGAAGCAGGCCGGATTTTACTTCTTGATGCTTCTGGGTATTTTAGTATTGTTCCTTCTTGACGCCATTAGAGAAATGAGAAAATATTCTAATCTAGGTAAGTGCCTTATCAATTTACAGTGTTAGATATAGGACTTTGCTTTCTATTAATATGCATGTGAACCAACCTATTTTCCGATCTTTGTATATTATTATATAAAATATAAAAAAAATTTCTGATCCTGAAATATTGTTAAATCAAAAATTGGTTAAGTGTTATACTACCAAATAATACAACCAATCTTTGTTGCTTGAGTGTTATTCCTTCTAGAATAGGAATTGTCATTTGCTTTAGTTGATGTAGAGATAGCACTGGGTTTGTGAGGATTTTTCTCTTTGTTAAATTTTGTACTTCCAGTGTGGATATTCATAATTTAAATATATGGAAGCCTAGCTAAACTGACAAAGGTTTTGTAACTTTATTTATTTGTAAATGCTATTCAATATACATTTAAAATATTTTATTTACAGAAGCTGAAGAACATGGCCATGCTCACCTTGATCGTGAGATGCAAGGCAGCATGAGACTCTTCAGAGCTCAACGTAACTTCTATATATCTGGTTTTGCTTTGTTCCTGTCACTTGTCATCAGAAGACTTGTTATTCTTATCTCTGAACAAGCTACTTTACAAGCCCAGTCAGAAGCATCAATGAGACAAGCCCAAAGTGCAACTACTGCAGCTAAGAGTTTATTGGCCCAACGTGGAGAAGTAGCACAAAATGAGAGTAATGAAGCTCATGACCAGGTGAGATTATTAAACAATTTATTTTTATTTTGCCTTACAAATTCTAGTCAATATTTAAAAATATTGTTCAATTAAAAAAAAAATACGTTACATAGTTTTTTAATTACATTAGTTGTTACAAGCATTGACTTTTACATATTTATTTTTGCATACACTGATATTTATATTTGGTTGGATATTCCTATTGATTTAAGAAAACTTAAAACTGACTAATAGTCAATCATCAGAATAAGCCATGCATTTACATGAGATATGTTGTACACTTAAACTGTTAAAACATGTAATCACACATTAGATTAACATGTGTATGTTTGAATCTGTCTGTTTATTGTAGTTCTTACCTATTTCTACATTTTTCTTCCATCTTGTAACTGTTGTTTTTATGTTTCTAATTTTTGTTGAAATTGATTCCATTTTTGAAGCCACTGTTCAATTAATGTTGAGGTAATCTAGTGAGATAAATTATTTAATATTCCAAAATTTATTAATAATTATATATAATCTTGAAATGTGTAGAACGGAATTTATGGGACAGACAGAATGAAGAAAATAATACAATTTAATATATGGGACCTTCTGGCAAGTTTGAAATGTATTAAAAATATCTATTCAATCATACTAATGTTGTTTACTTTAAGCTGATTTTGGTGGATAAATTAAATTCTAAAATTATAGTTTCAAAAAATTATAGCAAAAAATTAACACATTTATTAAGTTTGATTGAAATTGGATGTACTGTTTCTAAGCTGTGATTTCCAGCTTTGGACACACAAGCAGACAATGCAAGGTATCTATTATAGAATAATAATTTATAAGACTGAAAATAAGAGTAGTTAATACCAAATTGACAGTTTACAGCCAAAGATATAATTGTTTATATACATATATGTAATCAAAGATTTATAATACTGAACTATAACCCCTGTATAAATTTTATAAAAATAATTTCTTAAAAACAACTGTAAATAATGAAGTCAGACTACATTTTTCTGTCTACATAGTAATTTTAATAATTACATCATGAGAAAACTATAAAATGTATAATTAAATAATATAAAACTTTATTGAATTTGGTATTTATCTTTTAACTGACCATAAAACCTTTAAATATACAACCAGGCCTCAGCAGTTAGATACATTTAGTGCCAGAGTCTCATTTGGAAACCTCAAAAATGTTTTAGGTACTTTGTAAGGTCAAATTTTTATATACAAGGTGTAATAAAAATATAGCTAATAAATTAACCACATTTTTTACAGCCAAAAATAACTTGGATTTTGCAAAATGAAAATAATAGTGCACCCCATAAAAATTGCATAGGGTTTTGATCCCTTAAATCCCCAAAATTTTTATAAATATTACTTTTTTTGAAGCTGTCTGTTATAAGCCAATTGTACAGCAGCCAATTAACTTATTGATACATGATACTATTCCATGGTACCTAACATGATACCATTCCAGAATTCTGGAATCTTTATACTACCTTGTAGTCTAGTGGTTTGGTACCATGGAGTCAACTGGCAGTGTCCAATAGGTATTTACTGTCTGGGATCTAGTGCCTTTAGTGTTTGCACATTGAATATACATTTTGACATTCATATGAAATCAGGTGTATTTTTCCTGTGAGAGTTATTTTGTGCTCATATCCAGGCTTTTTTTCAGTCATGGATGGTGCTTTTTGGCATTCATATATAAATCTTAAAAGTAAAAGTGATTAAAGTTAAGATCGAGACCTTAGGGTGACCAAAAAATGAGCAAATAATTCCAATCCATCATTTAGGGTATTTCCAGAAAATATATTTAAGTAAGTTAGGTTTAATCAAGATATTTTTGACCCCAAAATATGTGGTTTCATTTATGATCTATTTTTTTATACAATGTACACCATGTATACTTGAATCAGTATATGTTTTGCATTAGGTGATCAACAACTTGTTTGGGTCAGTAGCTTTCCTTATAAATTTATTTAATGCTGCTTTTTTTTTTCTAATTTTTGATGTTAGTTTGTACAAGATAAAAGATTTTTGTACTGGATTATTTAAATTAATATTCTGTAGATACCAAAATAATAAATATCTGACTAATTCAAAGTTTATACAGCATAACAAAATAAATAAGAGATAACTAATTGGTTAAATTAATAAATATGATAAAAGCAGAGTAGTCACATCAGTGAATTGGATTAATCCAAAAACCAATACTGAGAATTGTAGGCGTAAAAATAAAAATAACATATTTCCAAAAATATTTACAAATAGAATTTGATCAACTAAGATTTCATTGAAGCACCAGCACATATCATATAATTGTATTCGTTTCTCATCTGCTAAATTTATATTTAGTTATTTTTTTCAAACTCTCTGTGTTCATTGTTACGATACATTTGTTACAGTGATACATTTTTATGCTAGCACAATTTAGTTCAATTGCCCTGAATTCTCCATGATAAAATTAAAACATAAATTTGTGTCCTATTACTCCATAGGAAATCATGATAATAAAAGTTTTAAATATAGCTATTCACAATATATTTATACAAATAGTTTAATCATATTAAATTGATAATAAATACATAAAATTAAGATAAATATTGATACCATATAAGTGCTATTGTTAATAAAAGTTTCTAGGTACAATAAACTCATTGAACTTTAAATTATTTCTCATTAAACAAATTAGTCATTGTCTATTCCTTTGGGTGATGACTTTTATGACCTTATGACTGTATGGTAATTAAGTTAAAGTTGGAGTACATTATAAATATATTTTACAATTATATCCAATTGGAGAACATGCTAAAGCTAATTTAGAAAAAATGTATATTTAATAAAATTCAATTACATAATCCGATGAACCAAAGTTCTTTTTGTTTCACACAAAATTTCTTTCTCACATCTTCTTGACTGACTTTACAACTCGGGTTGTTCTCAGTTTTACTCTTCTCTGATCAATGGATCTATCAAAGAGCATCTTTCTAACTGGGCCAGTTTGTTCCATCCGTATTACATGCCCTATGAACCTCAGAATCCTATCTTAATATGTTTACAATATCTGGTTCCTGGTATATTCTATAAAGTTCGAAGTTGTATTGTCTTCTCCACATTCTATTGTCATTCGCTGCTCCATACATTCGCCTCAGTACTTTTATTTCAAAACATTCTTTCCATCTAACCATATGTTATGACTGGGCATATTATTGTTTTGTACCGTTTAATTTTTGTATTTCTCGATATAATTGTGGATTTAAGGAGCAGATTGAGCTCAAAATAGCATGTGTTGGCCGTGCAAATTCTGCTGTTTTTCTCTTCCCCCAACACTACACTGATTTATTGTATATTGAACCAATGGTTGTGATTTGTGACAAACATTAAATTTAACAGTATACAGGAGAGACGGTCTCCCTGGCGCAGCCTCTATTTGTTTTAAAAGGTTTAGACAGTTCCAATGAATTCATACTCTACATTCAAATGTTTTAAGAGTTAGTTTTGTTAAATTTACCATTCATTTGGTATTCCTAGCTCTTTCATTGCTGTGCACATTTCTCTACTATTCACAGAGTCGTAGGTTGCTTTGTAGTCTATAAATATGTGATGAGTATGTATACAATATTCCAGTGTTTTTGCTGTCTCATGGTTGCAATCTAATAAATTGTCGATTCACCTCCTCTGAAACCAGCCTACTATTTTCCTACTATCTGTTCTGCATATGGTGCGATACAGTGACATAGTACTGTGGAAAATATTTTATATGCTACATTTAAAAGCGTAATTCCTCTGTGGTTAGAGCATTCAAAAATATCTCCTTTTTTGTATATGGTGCAAAGTATTCCAATATTCCAATCAGTAGGGAGGGATCTCTGTGTCCATATGTTTTTTTATAAGCTGCTGTAATTCCATTATGGTATCGTGCCACCTTCTTTATATAGTTCAGCTAGGGGATTATCTATTCCGAGTGATTTGTTTCTGGCTATTTTTTTAACTGCATCTTTAACTTCATGAATCGTTGGTGGTTCCTCTTCCTTCTCGTCTGTTCCCCTTACCTCGTCTCGTCCGTGTTCCAGGTATTCTTCCTCTATAATAAGTGCCTGGTTAAAGTATTCTATCTATTCAATACACTTTGTTGTTAATAGATTGCCATTTCTGACTTCTGCATTGACTTGTGGTTGCCTTGAATTATTTTCTGTTAAAAGTTCTTATAGAATACTCTGAATTCTTTCTCCTGGTTGAAGTTTTCTATATATTTAGGTTCCTTATTTAAGTGGTTCCATTTTTTTTCTTTTGTTACATGATTGCATTCATCTACTTCATTTACATTTTGATTCCTTAGCCTATTGGTGATGTTTTCTGACTGCAATTGTCGCATCCCTCAGCTTTTGCACATTCCATTTTTTCTATCCAATATATTTTCTTTACTGGTGTTTAAAATTCTAGTTCTCAATGTTGATATCACTAGGCAATGATCTGAGTTTATGTTTGCACCTCTATAACTTCTGCAGTTCGTTATGTCCGTTCCGTGTCTTGAATCTATTAAGATGTGATCAATCTGACTAGTTGTTCTTCCATCAGGAGAGGTCCAGGTTTACCTTGTGTATGTTTTTGTGTTCAAAATTGCTAAGTTTATCAGTTGTAATTTATTATCGCTACTGATGTGTAAGCTATGCTTTCCTATCGTGCACATGAAATCTCGCTCTCGTCCTATTCTTGCATTCATGTCACCTAATACAATCTTAATGTAATTTCTGGGACATCTTCTGTAGGCTTGCTCTAGGTTTTTGAAGAACTGTTCTTTCAATAATAAGGTCTTTTATTCTTTGGTTTACAATAAATTTCAACCCATCCATGTGTTGGCTTTCATTGCAGCCATAATATATGGCATGGAATGGGTTCTCTTGTCAAGAGTGCCAGTTCCCGTCCACCGCATTTCCTGTAGTGCTAAAAGATCTACTTTGTACATGTTCACTATGTCTAGTAAAGATGAGAGTGCTGCAGTTCGGTACAGACTATATATTGACTGGCTGGTCTTATCAGTATTAACCAACAGGCTTTTTCCACTAAATCAGTGTTCAGCCTTGCTTAGAGTTTGCTCTGCCACTGTGAGGAGAGTATCTAATGTTTTTTCTCAGACAGCGCATTTGATTCGTCAGCAAAATTTACGAGGTTTTAGGAACCACTAACCACCAGATTTGGAAGGTCGTTTATATAGATTAAAAAAGAGAAAAGGCTCCAAGAAGCACCCCTGTGGTATGCCTAATTTTAAGTTGATAAGTTTAGAGTAAACCTTACATCCCTCTTTCTCCAAGCTTACTTTTGGTGACCTATCTGTGAGAAATTATTTAATCCATTTTAATGCTGGTCCCGGTATTCCACAGAGACGTAATTTTTCTAATAAGGGAACATGAATCTAGGCTATTGAACGCCATAGATAGGTCTAAAAAACACCTAGTGTTTCCATCCTTAATTTTTCTAAAATGTTTGGTATATAATTTCCCTGCAAGAAAACCATGCTGTGAACTACTTCGCCTTTTCGAATATTTTTGAGAATGATGGAAGAACTCACCTTCGTAACATCACATTTTTTATTCACATATATTTTATCACATATAGTGATCACATATAGTGACTTGATAATTGCCAGTTTTAAACTTCGAGAAAATTTACCTTGCCTGAAAGAAACCATAACTATAAAAGAAAGAGGAAGAGAAATCTCAAATGAAACAAATTTTATCGAATTGGTTCATATTTCATCATAACCAGAGCTATGCTTGTTTTTTTTTAAATTATTTTTTATATGGCTTATTTCTTTTTCTGCAATGGGAGTTAGAAACATGCAATGATTACTTTGTTAGATATCAATTTGAAAATTTAATTTTTTTTATTTATTTTTTTAGAAAGCACGTGAGTCACCCTCTAAACAGAAATTATTTTCATTTATATATAAAACAGACATTTTAGTTTGATTTACTCTATTTTCAATTCGTTCTTTAAACAATTTTTTCGATATTGAGTGAGTAAAGAATTTTACTTGCGTTTTTATGTCCTGTAAATATCGTTATATTCAACATTAATACTAGACAGTGTAAACAAAGTACTTTTGTGACTTTTTTTATTTGCTGTATTTATCTCTTTGTGTGGAAAACATTGTATACAAATTTTCTGAACTATATTCATAAAAGCATTCCATTGATTGTCTAACTCTAATGTCTCAAAAACAGATAACTAGTGTATATTACCCAACATAAAGTGAAAAAATATTTTTTTCTTCAAATCGCCAGGAAATTTTGACATTCCTGTCAAAATTTCTTGAAGAAAAAGTCAGGACTTCCTTACTGTAAGGAAATGTCATTTCCTTACTGTAAGGAAATGTCATTTCCTTACTGTAAGGAAATCATATTTCCGTACAGTTGTTAGTGTTCTACATAAATGATAGAAAACACATTGCTTATAAGGAATTAATTTATATTTTGAAAACATCAAGTCATTGCTGAATACATTTTTTAAGATCAATTTGTTATATTTACAGTAATTTGACAGTTAGTACAATTATTGAACATTGGAGGAAAACTCTTAGAACTATGAGAAACATTTTGGACAACATGCAGGGTGGAAGTGTCATTTTGTTGAATATTTTGTACTGTGAAAATTTTATTTGCCACCTCAACCTTATTGTTAAGCGATTCTTCGATATATCCTTCAGCAACGTTTGATGACTTCCATCCGCCATGCCTCTTTAAACTAGTTATGTCGGCACCAGAGTCAACCAATATTGTTGCAGAAGACCGACGAAAGCAGTGACCAGTATATTCTGTCGGATTTACCAAGTTCAAATAAGTAGCAATTATTTTGGGCATTTTTCTAAATTGATGAATTCCTACCACTTGTCTACAACCCTTTCCGCTTTGATATTTAAAGAAAAATCGGTCACTGTTCATATTTTCTGGTCTTAACGAAACATACTTTCGATAAAAATTCAAGTAGATCTGATTAATTACAAATGATCTTAATTTGTTGGTTTTCGAATCAGGTATGCTGATTAAAAGCTTAGATTCTAAGTCTTCTATATTGTGTATAGTCATTCGGACTAACTCATCCATTCTACAGGCCCCAGAAATACCAAATATTACAGCCACCTAAAAAATAAATAAAGCTATAATCTAAATAGAAATTAAAACCTTGTAAATTACCTTAATCATTAAATTTTCTTTATCTGGAGCTTCCTGGATAAATTTTTCAATTTCTTCCTTCGTTAAAATCTTAGATTTCTTTGCCCTATAACCTTGAGCTTGCCGTTTCAATAAAGAACGAAGTTTTGAGTATGTAGATATATCTGCATTGTGTTTAAGTGCAAGGGTTGACTTCAGCATTGAATAATTGGCCCATAACGTTGAAGATTTCATCTTTAAACAAAGGTCTAGGAAGTATGCCATTACAACATTTTCTGAGAAAGAACTCGTATTTTTACTCATGCGATAATCCATAAAACGTCTGTATGCATTTTCGTACTTTTCTCTTGATTTCTTTGGCAATAATTCTGATGAAGCAGTATTCACTGCCTCAACCAGCTCTGGAGGAGTCCCAGAAATGGAAATTTCATCATCACTTATCATTTTACTTTCGAGAACACTAGCAATTAAATTTATAAGCGTCAAGTTTGACAATTCAACCTCAATACGTTTCCATAGTAACCCAAGTAATTTTATTAGGAATTTCAAAGCACCATTTATTTGGGAATAAAATTATCGCGTTTTTTTTAATCAATCAATATCTGTCGAATTTTAAACGATTTGCGGAAAAATAGTATGTTTACCTCGTAGGAAAAGCCACATTCCTGGACTCTGTGTTGCTAAGTCTCGGCTTGCGCCTCGACTTAGCAATCTTCACAGTCGTCCAGGAATGTTAAGCTTTTCCTACCCTGTAAACAATGTACTATTTCCGCAAATCGCCAGGAAATTTTGACATTCCTGTCAAAATTTCTTGAAGAAAAAGTCAGGACTTCCTTACTGTAAGGAAATGTCATTTCCTTACTGTAAGGAAATGATATTTCCGTACAGTTGTTAGTGTTCTACACAAGTTTGACAATTCAACCTCAATACGTTTCCATAGTAACCCAAGTAATTTTATTAGGAATTTCAAAGCACCATTTATTTGGGAATAAAATTATCGCGTTTTTTTTTTAAATCAATCAATATCTGTCGAATTTTAAACGATTTGCGGAAAAATAGTATGTTTACCTCGTAGGAAAAGCCAGATTCCTGGACTCTGTGTTGCTAAGTCTCGGCTTGCGCCTCAACTTAGCAATCTTCACAGTCGTCCAGGAATGTTAAGCTTTTCCTACCCGGTAAACAATGTACTATTTTTCGATCAATATTCGTTTTTTTTATTATATTTGACTCAATTTAATTAAAATTTTACCTTTTAAGCAGTATGATCAAATGTATGAGGATTGTATACAACAGTATCAAATATGTAAAAATACTATCTATAAATGATATTTTTCGTTACCTTGTATACATGTATAGTCTTTGGTGAAAGGTTGTCAAAAACATTTTTAATGTGTCTGGCCATCTCGCACCCTCAAGCAGCATATTTAAGTAAAAATCACCAGTCAGAAAAATGAGTCCTTGTCAACTAAATCCCAAAGCATTTGGTCTAATTTTATTAAAACTTGTGGGTCTTCGGTTCGGTAGATGGATAGGATTAAAATCTTCTTGTCAATTCGCACCTCTGCAGCGGAACACTCAAACACTAATCTTTCTGATAAACTAGAAATATCTTCCCGGGCTTTTGCAATAAACGTGTCTTTGATGAATACCGCACTGGCACCATGCTCCTGCATACTGCTTCTACAATATGAAGAAATCAGTTTAAAATTCCTCAGATTTAATCCCTCAGTTGTTCTTCTATTTTCCAGTGCTCAGTTAAACAAAGAGCAAAGCATTCATCGTGATCTAGGATAAAAGTAATGGCGTCAATACTTGTTCTGATTGATTGCATATTTAAGTGGATTACTGATAATTTCTTTTGGTGTGTACCATAGGCTGTCTTTTGACATTGGGGTTCTTTTGTACATTCTGAAAATGGTTAAAAATTACACTGTTCGGCTAATTCTTGCTGCATTAAATGAGATATTAATTGAGTATCTCAACAAGTTGTAAGATACCTGTATCAAAGAGTGTCACGAAAAAGGTTTTTATTTGTTAATTTCTGATTATAAATCTGATTATCAGATTTTTTTTTCATTCTTACTGTATTATCACGCCACGATTTGAATATCTACTCCAACTCTAATGATAATACTATATTAATACAAATACGACTTTTTTTCACAGATTTTACATTTTTCAAAGCTTCAAGAATTTTTTAAATATTACAAGATGTAATTTTCAAAACTATGACTAAACTTTTCTTGATAATTTTGAAATAATTATTTGTTGCACTGAAATTACATGTTGTGAACATAAAGGAGTGTAAAAACTTTATTTTCAATTTGTTTCAGGTAAACGAACTCAAGACAAAAATTCAGAAACTTGAAGACGAATTAAAAACAGAACAGACAGATAAGACTGCCATAAAGACTCAAGCTGAGAATTTGGCCAAGGAATATGACAGATTGGCCGAGGAGCACAGCAAACTACAAAAGAAGCTGACAGTCCAGGGAGCTGAAAAGAAAGGCGAATAATGTACATTAAAAAACGTTGATTGCACATCCTATAACTATCTATAATAAAAGCTTTGGTTGTAACAAGCTCTAGTGTAAATAAGATAAGACTTGGTGATTGGCTATAGTGAGAGATATGCTATTTTTTAATAATATTCGAATAGTAGATAAAAAATTTGTCTTGAAATTAGTTTTTCAAAATCTTTATTTTTTCATTTTTATTAGAGGTCACGTGGAGAAAGTTTTTTATTAATATGGTTAAGAACTTTGAAAGAACTGCACTGGTTTTCAACCAGTTCAACCCTTTACATTAGATAAACATACACTAAGGTGATTTTTATACAATCTATTCCATCATGCAGATGTGTCATAACTATCCCGCCGATCTGTTAACGACCAGATCGATTAAAAACCTCATAAATATCGTTGATATGCCTAAACGTAAACATACTATCAGCAGGCCTTGTTTCATTGATCCAGTAGACCAGACAAATCTTTTAAAAATCTACTTTGTGTGTACCTTCCTACATACACGAATATATTGTCCCTAGAATTGTTATGTATGTCGTTTTGACTGATGATTTTTTGACATAATAAGTGATTGTAGTACACATAGCAGATATTAAAATCGTTAAATCGTTTGAATCACAATGCGTACTTGCATAAACTCTTATATTGAGTGACTTTTCATTTCCAATAATCAGTGATTTTTCTGAATACATTGGAAACATCTCACAGATGTTTTATGTGATCAGCAGTTTTCGTTGAGTTTGAAGAACTATTTGTATGTAGCTGATTTTAGAATTTTCAGTGTCTACTGCATTTATTTATTATGTCAATTGCAGGATAATGTTTTTGGTGTTCTGATGTTATCTTTGTATTCCATTTGTTTTTAATTTATTATAATTTTTTTGAATAACATGAGTTTGTATAATTTAATAAAATAAATCCATTTTAAAAAAGGAGTCTACAAGTAATTATTTAAATAAAGTTGAGGCAACACTAGTCAACAACTTCCGCAGATTAATAAATGAAGAGGTTATGTAACGCCGAAGGGGTTATGTAACAAAATGTAAAAAAATCCAGCTGTCAGTAGGAATGGAGATGTCAATGACGTATAATATATAGACTCGGTGAACGCTTTAAAAAGTGTCCAAAACATGAATACCTTTGTTATTGTTTATTGTTTTGATACGAAGATGCACGAAGTTCATGATTTCTTTCGAAGCATCACGAAGTTGAGCTTGTGTTTGAAAACATCATGGACGTATGAAAACATTTTCTCCATTTTGTGTGACAAGCAAATTTTATTTTACATTGTTGAGAGTTATTTACTTACTATTTTAGTAAAATGTCATACTATTTTATCAAAATAATTATTTCTCTTATAGATGGGAAGGATGGGAACAAAAAGAAATCATAAATATTTAATTTTAATTAAAAAAAGAATTATTGTCATTAACTTATAAATGAGCACGCCGCTGTTCTGATAAACATACCTTCAACCTTGAGCCGAGATCTTTCGGACACTCGATTCTATACCGAGAATAGGGGACTGCGTAGTCTATATATTATACGTCATTGGGAGATGTTCTTATTTTTTGACACTGACTCCAGTCTTCTACAGGATTTATTTACTGAGATACTGGGGTCATAAAGAAGGTAAGTGTTCAGCCAGTATGAAGTTTTGGCCATGAAGGGGATATGTAACATTATCAAGCTCATGAAAGCTCAGTTTCAGAAAGCCCAGTGGTAAATATTTGAATTCAGTTTCGCCATTTAGGAAATCTTAGGATTCCTAGTGTTATTAAAATTATTTTTATTCAGTACGTAACTAATAAAAAATATAAACGATAATATGTAATGACTGTAACAATTAATGTGATATTAAGGAAATGTTCAAAATGTCCACCTTCACCCGATGATCGCGGTGGCAAACAGTTGTTCTTCCTCTGCCTATCCACCTCTCAGGAATGTTATTATTTAGATCAGTGGTTCTCAACCTTTTTGTGGCGACGGAACACTTTTAATTACCGAAAAAAATTGCGGAAACACCAAAGCAATAACATGCATATATTGATAAACAAATTAGGATTAGCACATAAATTCTGTAATAAACTTTATTAAAAGTAAAATACATCATATGAGTAAATACTTCAAATTAGTGAGACACTTGTGCCTGGTGTCGTTTGCAAATTTGCTCAATATCAGGCCTGATGTGGGAAAGAGCTACTCTTATTTCTTGTTCTAAGTTTAGCAGCCTTTCCCGTTTCTTATTTTTAATGTTTGTTAAAGATGAGAACCCAAATTCACATAAATAGGACGTTGAAAAGTAGTATTAAATAGTATTAAAATACTAAAATACTAATCGCTTTTTTGGCAAGAAGTGGATATTCCTCTTGGACCAAGATCCAAAATTCCTGAACATTCACTTCTGAAAACTTAATTTTCAGAGTACGATCAGATGACAACGAAATAAATTCTTCTTCTTGGTTCAGAGAAAACTGGAAATTGGCTGTATTACTTGTGCTAAAAGGATTTCTTATCCAGTCATATTTTTCTACGTTCAGAGATGGAAAATACCTGGCAATTGTCTCCTCTAATAGTGATAAGTGTTCTGTAACTATATGTGTGATTTCTTGTTCTTTATCTTCATTACCTTCATTCTGAAGCAGTGGAAACATATCCATTTTATTTGTCTCTAAAATGCGCTTCTTTCAAAATGACAATTTTTTCTGAAAAGCTGACAGCTTGTCCGTGGATGTTAAAATATTTGATTTTTGCCTTGTATATTTGAGTTAACGCCATTTAAATAATTAAAAATATCGGCCAAATATGCCACTTTAGTGCACCATGCATAATTTTCAAAATATGTGGTAAATGTGTCATTACCTTCTTCTTGGAAAAAAGTTAACAGCTTCGTTCTAAGTTCATAAATTCGACATAATACTTTGCCCCTTGACAACCATCTAACTTCGGTGTGCAGCAACAAACATTCATACTTTGATTCCATTGAGATGCAGAGTTGTTTAAAGAGACGGGTTTTTAGTGGTCTTGATTTGATGTAATTCACGACATTAACCACTTGGTCTAATGCAGTTTTCAAAGTAGCTGGTAGCGTTTTTGAAATTAGAGATTCTCTATGCAAGAAACAGTGCGTAGATATGATATTTTCATTTCGCTTTTTTGCAAGGGTACAAAAACCTTATATGGAGCCTACCATGGAAGGGGCACCATCCGTACAAATTCCTACGCAAAAGTCCCATGATATATTTTTTTTCTCTAAATATGACGTTATGGAATCAAATACATCCTGACCTGTTGTACGTGCTGCAAGTTCTCTGCAGCATAAAAACTGATTGACTATTTCACCTTCGTCGACAAATCGAATAAATCCTAATAAATGAGCTTTGCCACTAATATCAGTGGATTCGTCCACCTGCAATGCGAAGTTTTTTTTGTAAAGTTTATTTGTAACTTTTTCCTCAATATCTGCAGATAAATCAACAATCCTCCTTCTTATTGTATCATCCGACATAGGAATTTTCCGTATTTCGTTTTGTGCATCGTTGCCAAACATAATTTTGACCATCTCACAACATGCTGGTAATATAAGAGATTCTGCAACAGTGTGTGGATTCTGTTTCAAAGCAATTAATTCGGCGACCTTATATGAAGCTATTTGTGCTTTGTCGGAAATTGTTAGCGACCTTTCAAATTGTTTCGCTTGTTTAGCTTGTGTCTCCAAAAGTCGCTTAAAATAATCTTTATTTTTTGAAGCTACACTAGCGTGTTTGGTAGTAAAATGGCGTTTTAATTTAGCCGGAGCCATTGCGCTATTAGCGAGTGTCTGCCCACAAACAATACACTTGGGAATTGGACAGCCTTCTTCCCCAGTCCAAATGAAGCCATAATCCAAATATTCATCCAAATATTGCCGGTTCAACATTTTTTTTGCTGCGCTTCGATTTGTCAGCAAACCCACTTAGCAAAGTTCCAGTATCCGCTGGTGCTCGCTTCATCATCATTAATTATGAGTTGTTCCACAGTAGTTTTTCTTTTAAGTTTGAGAAACTTATCCATTTTAATTTATTCGTCTCTAAACAAAATAATGCGGATGAATGCTTCACATTTTGTATAAAATATGCAATTACTTAACTTTGATAGATAAGTCGTACGTAAACGTTATCATAAAAAAACTGACACAGCGATTTTCACGTATTACGTTTGTGCAATGTAACAAATTCAACATTCAGTTGCAGAGTTGCAGACTGTGGCATGGGTGACTCAGATTGGCTGTGGCCACTGGGCACTGCGGAGCTCAGCGCTTATAAAATCCAACGTGTGCACTGTGCCGACGCGGTGTTGTCACGTTGGGCAAATGAACATTTACGCTGCAGAATTTTATTAAATTAAAATGTACGTAAGTGGCTATTTTAAAATTTGAAAATATTTATTTGAAAAGAGTAATTTAGCAAAATGGTATGTAGGATTGCGAGTATTTCGCGGAACACTTGGAAGGAATTCGCGGAACACTAGTGTTCCGCGGAACACCGGTTGAGAACCACTGATTTAGATGATTGTGAATAGGAGCAGTGTGGTGAACTGAATATTAAGCGGTAGGCACATTTTGCAGTAGTATTGGCAAATGATTATTTAGAAAATCTAGATATATGGCACTATTCACACGACCGTAAAACATTTATAGTCTACCTCCTTTGACTATGAGCACAGAATAATAAATAATGAGAATGCCCACTCTCAGATGCCGCCTTTGAAGTTTTTCAGCACGGCGCCATGTTTTAGAAGGAAACAGACATAATTTGTGAGGTTATGTAATTGTTTATATTTATGTTTAATTATATTATATTTAATAATGTTAATATAATTGTATAGTATGTCTATGATTGCCGTAAGTGAATTAAACCGGGTTAATTGTTCTATGCACACAACATAAATTTTCATTAAACAACACTGGTTCCCTTTAAAACATGACGGAACGTCTGCGCGAACGAGTTGCGCGTACTTAATTTTTCATGGAGAGCGGGCATTCTGATAGTTTATTATTCTGTACTATGAGTGTTAACAAAATAGGTATTGCTTGATGCATAGTAATGAAAATTATGCCGTTTTACCTTTCCATTTTTGTAAAATGTAGCCTCATCTCCAAAAATCCTAATAGAAAAAAAAAATCAGTATCTTTCACTTGCTGCTGAGACCATTGACAAAAAGCTAATCTAAAGCTAAACTGATTACCAATGGTTCCAAACCATACGTTCATTTGAAATTCATGTTGAAAATGCATTTCTCTTTTAACATGAGGATACCTTAGTATCTCAGAAGTTATTTTTCTTTAAATTAAAAAGACCATAGTGTGTAAATGTAGCTTCATTCGTAAAAAATATTCTATCAATGGAGTGGTCAAGATTTTACCTATTTCGGATATCATTTGCAAATCTGCAACTTAAAGATAAATCTGCTGACAATATAGATTTTGCACACGTGTAAAATGGTAAGAATGAAACTGTTTACGGTGTATGATTTTGCTGATTCCTAACGCTGAAGATAAATGTCGTGTACTTATTTGAGAATCATCGTCAACACGAACCATTATTTTATTTTCCTGATCAGGCATAATGATTTTCGGTCTGTTTAGGACAAAATTAACAACTTTCGACTAAATCCGAAAGAGATGTTTAAAGGTTTGGTGATTGGCTTGTAGCCTTTTTGGGTATCTTTTTAAATATTCCTTCTCATATCCATAGTAGAAAAATTATTACGCCTCGGCATTTTCTGCTTTTCTTCAATAAACCAAAATAAACTTGATATTACAAAAATCACTGATTAATCGAAACAAGACTATTTTTAGTTATCAAATGTTAAAATTTCCCGTGATGCATTGGAGTTGTCTGCTTTCATCAAAACTGGCTTCAAAAATAGATGGTAGTTGCAGTAGCTGGCACTGTAGACTAGTGCGAAGCTTCATACTATGATTTCTATATATTTTAAATAATATTTTGAACATTTAATGTTTAAAGTAATTTTAATATTTATTTATTATTTACTTTTTAAACAAGTTATATTAAAATAATTTAATACATTATGTTTGCTAGTAGCGCCACCTGCTAACGTATTAACATAATACAGACCCGTGATTATAGTTTGAAAGGAATTTATTTACAACTAACGTTAAAAAATATATGATGACTAGAAACGAATTGATGGAGAGTAGTAAATCGATGTGAAAACCGTGAAGCGTTATTTCGTGAAGCTACTCGTGACGGCGTCTCGAAGCGCTTCTTCCGTGACGCTCGCCTCAACATTTTACAATAAAGAAAAAGTAATACAACGCCAGTATAGAAATTTATAGAAGTGATAGAGAAAGGAAATTGTAAACATGATGACGGTCAACGTCTGAATACGGACACGGCACCTAACTCCAATATGACATTTTTCAGCCATAACAAAGCATTTTGTGATGTTACATTATCATCTTTGAGTTGTTTTCATAAGAACCAACTATTAACATTAACTATGCTTATCCACAGGTATGCAGTGCTTTACCGCAAAAATATCACAACTAAGAATTATTATATGCAGCTAACATCAAAGTATGTATTAAATTATAATTTCTCCTATTCAACAGCATCCAATGATAATTTTTAATCCATAAATATTTAAAAACGTGAAAGTTATAGCGTAAAATAAAATCATAAGTTTCCTCTTTAACACCCTGTATCTTCATTCATATTTTCATTTCAGATTCATATAATATCAACATTTTATAAAAGCGTTGATTGAATAATTCAATCAACGATAAAAGCAAGTTGGCTGAAATCGTAATATTTTAAAGTCTAGAATCTAGTTTTTTTTGTACAATTACTTAAGGGACCACCCTGTATATCCATTATCCTCATTCACGGCAACCTCGCTTGTGTCGGTTTTGGGCTTCGGTCTCTCTTTCTTTGCCTAAGCAGGCAACCATCTGTCAAAGTTTGGTTGATCAGGCCTTGAAGACGAGGCCACCTTGGAGTGGAGGAGAGGTGACAGCAGTGTTGCCAGGTTGACTGTTATGAATGAGAGCCGACACATACACTTTTAAATAAAAATATTAAATACAATTAGGCAGTATTATTTTTTTTTGTATTTTTATTTGTGGTAAAGTTGTTTTGTTTGCCTATGTTGCTCATTAGTCAGTTTCTCTTATTTTTAGTTTTTATTAATAAAGTTTAAGCACGTTCAAGTCTTGTATTTTTGGCAACACTGGCTGACAACTGAACAGCCAACAACAATACAAAACATCAGCCAGACAAGGAAAAAGAGTAAAAGAGAAGTGAGTAAGTCAAAGACCATCTACTCCATAGACGGTTCACGACAATGCTTTAGTTCTATCCAAATTTTGCGCCACCTGGGGATGGATATCTAAACTATTTCTAATGGCGGGGAATTTAAACGAAATTCTAAACGGGGAATTTCAAATATTAAACCGCGAAATTTAAATTGTAAATAAAGCGGGAAATTTAAAACTTTTATACAGATTTAGTAGATGATCTCCGATTTTCATGAAATTTGGTATATTTGCGTATTTTTAGCTGCAGATCACGAACATAAATATAAAACATTTTTGGGGGAAATGGATAGTTTTTGAGTTAGTGTATTTTCGTAGTATCTTTCACTTTAATTGCGTCAAGTGCTTCTTTAAACACGCTGTGTATAACATACTTCCTTCTTTTAAGGACTGCCTTACAAAAACTTATAGATGGTTTATTTTATTTTTATATTTAATCAATTTAGAGATAGTGTATTAAAACGGCAATGTTTGTTGACGAAAGCCATGCTAATTTTTAAATGCGATGTCACAAACAACATTGTGAAGTTCAGAAGTTTTATTGAAATAAAAAAGAATAAAAGACTTATAATCATTTTTTATAAAGTAGTATGAAGAATTAAAAGAAGAAAGTATATATATATATATATATATATATATATATATATATATATATATATATATATATATATATATATATATATACCTATATATATATATATATATATATATATTATATATATATATATATATATATATATATATATATATATATATATATATAAATATATTATATAATGTGTTGAAACAAATAATACCTGACGCCGTTAAAGTGAGAGATAGATAATAGAGCCCGAAAAAAGACTGACTCAAAAACTATATATTTCCCATAAAAAATATTCGTGATTTATAACCCAAAATATGTAAATATGCCAAATTTCATAAAAATCGGATAGGAGCCTGTCTACTAAACAGTTATCAAAACTATAATAAAAGGCACAGGGATGAAATTATCTTTTTTTAAAGGAGGAAAAATAAACAAAAATTTTAAGACTATAGTAGATTTTTAATTAGGATAAATACAATCCAAGAACCAATCGTCTTATTAACTTACCACCAACAAGTTGATCGACAATAAAAATAATTGGTTAAATAATAGTCTCAAATATACACACTAAACAACTAATTAACACACTAAATAACTAATTAACACTAAAAATACAAACTATAAATAAGAATAATACGGATATAAGGAAGAATAAACACCAAATTAGATTAAAAAACAATATAAAATGGAGAACGTAAACAAACGTAAACTGTTAAACCGGGTAACATAAACATAAGTCATAGAACACTAACAAACATTTCGACTCTGTCATCAAACAGATACCATAGAACAATTGTTACCGTGATTGTTACTGTTCTCTGAAAATACTTCATTATCGCGACATCTATTGATGGATATCGGTAATACAATTTTATATTTGACCTTGGTCATCTGCGTGAAACGTCTATTGGTGTAAATGGTCTTTGGAGTAAGTCCATTTTTGTTTTTATGCGACTGCCATATTTTGGTGCCTGTTTGTAAATTTGACATCACTTTTTTGTTTTTTTTTTTTTGAAAAAGGTGAATTAAAGACCGAAATTTTTAGACTTAAAAAAATGGTGTTGTGTTCATATTTTGGTTGCAAAAATCGCAGTGAGAGGAAAACACCAGGAATAACGTTTCATAGGTAAATGTTATATTAGTTATTCATCAATTTTACCTGATATTTCAATTTTAAACATCAAAAACAAATTTAAATTAGTATCTTAAGCAAAGGTGAGGTCTAAATAAGTAAATAGGCATGCAAGATATTCAGTAATTGTTTAAAATTAGTTTTCCTTCCCATGATAACGAGGGCTTGCCATTGGTGGCGTGGTGGGTGTGCGTTGAGGGTTAAAATGCCATAAAAAATAAAGTAAATTTCTGAGTATTTTTGCTGTACACTGTAGAATTATTTTTACCCTCAAATAACATTTTAAATAACTTTGGCATTACAATGTGTAGGTATAAAAGCGGTCATTAAAAGTATTACCAAGTAATTAGTTGAATTCAATAATACATAATATGGTTATAAAAACTGATACTTCTGCTTTTACAGATTTCCCCTTAAGAATCCAAACAAATTGCATGAATGGGTTAAACAAATGCATGTTGTTGACTGGATGCCCACAAAACATACCAGGTTATGTTCTAAACATTTTGAAAAAAAATGGTTTTATAAAACTAGTACCAAAATGTATTTATTAGATCAGGCAGTTCCTACAATATTTGAGGAGATTTCAAAATATGTACAAATAAAGGTAAAATATAATAGTAATTAATTCAATGAAGTTGTTTTAACCATTTTTGGCATAAAATTTTGTTTTAATCAAAAATGTTGTTAAGTATTAGATATAAATAAGTAACTCACTATACCTTATTCCATTAAGCGATGCAGGGCATATAAACAACGATAAATTTAGCAGATAATTGTTAAAGATGTTCCAAATGAGTCTACTCGTTCCGATAAGTAACAGTATAATTATGACAATTTATTATTTTTTTAGTTTCTCAAATATTCGTGTTTATTGCATAGCAAATAAACTAATGTTATCACTGAATACATAGTAAGTGAAAAAATAATCCAATTTACAAAATTAATGAATATCTATTTTATGCATAAATGCAAGTAACAGTTCTTCAAAAATATTTAAAAACTAACCGAAATGTCCATCTTTATTTCATCTGCCGACGTTTTCGGTAGCTCATACCGGTTCGGGCACGATTTAATGTTTACATCTTCCTGCATCGCTTAATGAATTTTACTATAAATATAAATTGTCTTTGTATTTTGAAATTATCTTAAATAAAGTTCCGAACATCTTTTATACAACTTTTATAGTGACAGTTTGTTAGGTCTTGATTAGGGTATATGAACAATAACCCTGTCACTCATATTTTTCAATCTTGATTATTATGACTGATACAGCCAATATTTTTTGAATCTAATAACTAATTTCATTGTTGCAGGATATTAAGCAATCTCCTTCAGAAAACAGAGCATCTTATACTTCAACCTCCTTAGAAACACCATCAACTTTATCACATGCAAATGATTGTAAAAATCCAAAGAAGAAATCATTGATAAGACAACTATTTGCAGAAAAAGTCAAAAATGAACAGAAAACAAAACTAATCAACATATTGCATCAGAAAGTTAGACGATTACAAAAGAGAGTTGTCTTGCTTAAACAAATTATAAAAGATTTAAAAAGAAACAAGAAATTAAGTTCTCAAAATTCAGTGTTAAACGTAAGACATGAAAACGTAATAAATATTTACTGAAATTAAGAAAGTTTACTATTACATTGTGGTTTTCCCCGGAAGGTTATGATTATGTTTGAGACTTGCTTGTCCATAGAAGCACCATTGGGAAATGGTTTAAAATCATTGATGTCGATCCAGGTTTCACTTCTGAATCCTTCGATGTATTGAAGAAATATGTTATCGCAAAATCGCAAATAAACATTTTATGACTACTGTGAAATAATTTTATTTATATTTTTTATCAATTTATATTTTTTGAAGTTATACTTCTATACGCACGGTCGGCGTTGGAAATATGCATGGGAGTGATAATGAGTAAGAGAGAAACAGAAGATATATTTTCTCCCTCTTCCTCTCTCGAGAATATAAATGTTCCTTTTGTATATATGTTTAATATTATATATAATATTATATATATATATATATATATATATATATATATATATATATATATATATATATATATATATATATATATAATATAATATGTGTTAATATTATTATTTATGTGATATGTTTTGTATTATTTATTAAACATTTATAATTATTTTAGGCTTTTGCATTTCAACATAATCACTGTTTGACCGAGAACTGTTAATTTTGAAATCCGTTAGTGTCATGTCTAATTTTCAAATCCTTTACGTGTTTGGTTCATACGCTGGGGTTTGTGAGTTCGAATCCCAAAATGAATTTCCTGTTTTACTTTTGAAATATTTAAAAACTTCACGTTAATCTTATTAAATATATGTAGGGGAGAGGGGGGGTTAGTGTGGACATAGTTAATTATTTAAAAACTCGCATTTAAATCTGCCGCCCAGTCTGTTCAGGAAGTGACTATTAACGCCACCGAACACCACGTAAAAGTTGGTTGAAATATTTTCTATAATATGGCCGCCAGTGACAGAAAGTGATTTTGTGTGTTGTATCCATTTATTTCACACGGTAAGTAAAATTATACTAAAATTGAAGTTATTGAACTAATTGTATACCTAAGTTAGTGTATGGCTTCTGGAATATTTAATTACTACATTTGATATGGAATGAGATAAAATTATCATTTTTCGAAACGTCATTCCATTGTTACTGTCAAACATGGCGTTCGGGGTTAGTGTGGACAAATCATCAGCTGTCCACACTAACCCCACAAATGATTATATTTCCAAAAATCATGTGATAAAAATCGCTTTTTTGTTTCAGATGAGGACTTACAGTAGAAAAACGGCGAGAGCTGATATTGATGAAAAAATTGTAGAGCGTGCAATAAATGATATCCTAAGAAAAAAAGGAAGCTTGAGAAATATTACAGAGAAATATGAATTGAAAAAAAGTATGCTTCACAAAAGAGTCATTTCGGCTAAGAGGAACCTTCAAGATGCTAATATACCCTCTGGTGATGATTCAGGTAACGAAGATGAGTTAGAAATTGTTAGCTTGAATGTTTCAGGCGTCAATAAATTTCGAGGTCGCCAAATATTTTCTGATGAACAAGAACAACACATTGTCAATTATCTTAAGAAGGCGTCTCGATTACATTATGGCTTGACTTACAAGCAGGCTTGTACCCTAGCTTTTGAGTATGGTAGTGCTCTACAAATAGAAATTCCTTCGAATTGGACTAAAAATAAGATAGCAGGAAAGGACTGGATATATTCATTTATGAAACGACATGGTGATTTATCTCTTAGAAAACCTGAAAATACAAGCATAGCATGAGATGCAGCCTTTAACAAATCCAACGTGGATTTATTTTTTGATAATTACATTGGAGTTTTAGATAAATTTAAAGGAAGGCCAGAAAGGATAATAAATTTAGATGAGACAGGTATACCCACGGTCTTACCACCACCCAAACGTACAGCTGAAAAGGGAAAAAAACAAATAGGAGCTGTGGCCTCTCAAGAACGCGGTGAAAATGTTACAATGTGCGGAATTATAACAGCCACTGGACAAGCAATACCTCCAGTTTTCATATTCCCCAGGAAGAATATGAAAGACCGGTTCTTAGATGGTGCACCAATAGGGAGCATTGGTCTGGCTCATCAGTCTGGCTATATGACTGCTGAATTATTTTTAGAAGTACTAAAGCACATAAAAATGCACTTAAGTGCTTCTAAAGAAAACCCTCTACTGATATTAACGGATAATCATTCAAGTCATATAAGTTTGGAAGCTATAAACTTAGCTAGAGAATCTGGAATTACTCTTTTATCGTTTCCGCCACATTGTAGCCACAAACTACATCCGCTAGATGTTGCAGTATATGGTCCTTATAAAGCTGCATTACGGGTTGCAATGGGAGACTGGCTTCAAAATCATCCACGCAGACCTATACAAATATATGATGTTGCTCAACTGTGTGGTATTGCTTTTCCTGTGGCATTTACAATGAAGAATATAACATCTGGATTCAGATCTGCTGGTTTATGGCCAATAAATCGTCTTGTATTCACCGATGAGGATTATGAAGCTGCCGAAACAACAGATAGGAATCAAGAACCACCAACAGCAATGAACCCAAAAAATCCTGAAGATCCTGAGCGAATATTAGAAGTTGCTTCAATCTCCACAAGACTGCTACCTGTAGCTCCCATTACGCTTTCACCATCAGTAGCAACTACATCAACAGCTGTAATTACTCCTGAGAGCTGCCGCCCTTTTCTAAAAGCAGATCGCTCATCAAACTCCAAAGCAAGAAAAAATAAAAAGTCGACTATTTACACGAGCACACCAGTGAAAGATCAGTTGGACGCTGAAAAAGAGGCTAAATATTTGAAGGAAAGACGTGCGCAAGAAAGAGCTGAAATTTGAGAAAAGAATAGAGTGAAGAAATCTCTTTCCTATGAACCAAAAAGGAGTAGGAAAGAATCTTCCTCTTCCAATTCTTCTACAGAAGTAATACTTGAATCAGAGGATGAAGGCTGGATGGAAGATGATGGTCAGGACAACGATATTTTTATGGACAAACAAATGGAGAAAAATGATTTCGTACTTGTAAAATTTATGGGTAAAAAATCGGTAACACACTATGTTGGCCAAATCGTAGATATTCGAGATGTGGAAGTACAAATTAATTTTTTAAGAAAAAAAGTGAATAATTTCGTATTTCCCGAAGTTGAAGATGTCTCAGTTGTCGACAAGAACGGTATTGTCGGAATTTTGGAGCACCCAGTAGACACTGGCACGAAAAGGCAAGGAAGATTATTTTCATTTAATATTAATTTCAGTTCTTATAATGTATCGTAGTTTCTTTTTGTTAACATAAAGTTTTCAGTATTCCTGTATATGTTTTACTATGCGTCCACTATAACCACATACTCTGTCCACTTTAACCCCACCACGGGATCATTGTGGACAAATTATTGATTCCGATTTGAATCAAAATATTTGTTCTATTAAGAAAGATACAAATAAAATATTCACATCGAAAGTTGAGTTGATGTTTACAGTAAATATGTGAAGTAAGTTCAGCAATAAGAATCTTATACATATTTTTTAATTTACTAATAAGTAAAAATGGTCCACAGTAACCCCCTTCTCCCCTAATATACGCAAAAATGCTAAATTTTAAAATAAAATGAAAATTTACAACATAATCCGAGTTGTTGGTTTTTTATTTTTATCTTCGTAAAGTAAGTTATGCATATTGGCAGTTTTAAATACTTATTAATATTACATTTTAATTTATATTGAATTATGTTACAGTGTATGTATTATAATTTTTATATTAATAACAAAATAAACAATGAATTTTACTGCAAAGTATGTGTAAAAAAATTTTTTTGCATTCAACTCCTTTTATACATATTATATGAAAATAAAAATAGGTATATATTTTCATTAAAATATTGATACAATCCTTCATTTACTATACTCCTATTACAGGTCAAATCTTTATATACAGCAAACGATGCACCATATACCTAATTATTTTTCTCTTTCTGCTCTCTCTTACCTATAGCATTACATATGTAATGATTGTGCAGATTGACTCCCATATAAATTTGTAATGGCGAATGCGTGTATAGAAGTATAATTCCTACCGGCAGTCCTACTGGACTGCCACACCCGTTTTTTCTTTATATAGAACTCATTTACATGCATCCCTATTTTAGTTTCAGTATTTTCTTCTTTTTTACCTGATTTTGCGTTGAAATCTCCCATAATGATGGTATACGTTGTATCATTTTGTTCTAATGTTGTTATCAAATCTTCGCAGAACATTCTAGGTCTATTATAATATAAGCTACTCTATCAGAAACGCTTTTATATGTAAAAATGTATGGTGTGAGATTTTTTTTGACAAAAAATCCTACTCCACCAAATGGTTGGTGAGTGTTCGTAGTATCACAGCCGGCTAAATCAGTATTTGATTTTCGCCTGCGACTTTGTGGTACCGCACATATCAGGAACTGTATTCCTCAGCCACGGGCACTAATGACAGCTGCTGACCTATGTCATGTCCTCAGTTGATCCGCGGGAACTTATTTGTCGAAGCCTTATTCATACCTGCCCTGCATATTTACAGGAACGTTCCCTATCAGCCATTGGGACGGCCGTGCCGGGGTTGAGGACTTCCCCGCCCAGTCTGTCTTGCACAAAGTACTGAAGGACCCCTACTCAGTTTAGCGTCCCTCCTCTACACAAGATGAGACCGGCACATATATAACCGTCATCCAAATCGGGCTCATATTCACTGCCACTATCTACAAAGGGCTCTTCATAAGAGTCCAATACCACCATTATATTTTAATATTCACGTTGTGTCAGTCCACACAGATTATTAGTACAATTAATCAATTTGATGCACATTAAGGAAGAAGTACCTAAAGCCAGAAGGTACCTTGACTTGCTGATTTGGAACAAAATGGATAAAATATAAAAAAGAATTTTTCCACGAAGCGGGAGTCAGCGCGAGACTACTATAGGGTTACAAACACTTTATTGTGTTTTACCAGGCTGCTGAGGAGATCTTTACAGTTCTTCACCAGTTTTGATTGGTGAATGGGTTCTTAGTATAGTCAGAATGGCGCTTGGTCACTAGTACAAATGTTGACTCTTTTTGCTTTGGGGTCTCCATCCATTTCATCAATGCAGGTCACCAAAGCAAAAACTTTAGACTAAAATACAGTTATATATTGACCTAGGCTGAGTTTTGCTAAAATTACATGTTTGATCAAAGGCTCCTGACCCAGTACCACGGGCAGGTTTAGATCCATCAGTGAACCATATTAAGTCTCTATTAATGTTTTGGGTTTTTTTTTGTTCTCTAGATGGTATACGTGTATTAATCTTCAGAGAAGTTTAGTTCTGGTGCCATCACATCTGAGTTAATTTGAAAGATGGAATCCTTAAGTATAGTTCCAGTAGTATTGTGACTATTCAGTACAGAGTTCGGCCTCCAAGTATTGTTTGCTTTAAATATCATGATAATAAATGCTACTGTCGAAATATATAATTCTATCGGATGTAGACCTGTAATTGACTCTAAAGATGCCTTTCCTATACCATTCGAGGCTCCTGTCATATTTAAAAGCACTTGTCATTATAGGGTGGTGAGTGACGTCGCACAAGATTGTAAAAAATAAGGTAATATAACGACAGTTTTTCGTTCTAATATTTTTTCTGATTTTTCCACATTTTTCATCTAGATCATATTGAAATTTTGGTTGTAAACAACCTTCCAGCGATTTTTCTACAAAAGTTAATATCTCGATCAGTAGAATCCCAAAACCATGGAATATAAAAATAATTTTATATATTAGGGAAAAGAAAATGAAAAACAAAATTATATTAAATATAATAACAGAACAATTATATATAAATTAAGTTTTCATTTATCACTATTTAAATAAAAGACGAAAGAAGAAACTAAACTAACATATAATATTCATTAAATAAAACAATACTCGTTTTTAACGCAGTAATTATCCCATCTATCAGTGGCGGATCTAGACATTAGCCTTGTTGGGGGGGGGGGGAATTCCAATAAAATAAAATACCAACAAAAAGACTTAACAAAGATGAATCCAAACTACATAAACGACATAAATAATAGGTTTTCTTTAATTTTGGACTTTCTTGGGGGTGGGGAATCTCCCATTCTTACCCCCATGTATCCGCCCCTGTCATTTATTACACATACGAGTTAAACATGGACAGTACAGAAAGAAAAAAAAACACAAAACACAATAAGAGCTACGGGAATGAAATATCTTATTGAAAAGAAAAAAAGAATAGATACAGACATGAAGAAATTAGACAACAGGTAAATCAAGACCCGCTACTGGAAACAGTTGGGCTGGTACGGACATCTAATGAGGGGAAAAACCAAAATAATTTATCTAAGAGGACAATAAACGCAAAAAAAAAAACAGTAAGACGCTAAAAGGCATAAGGATTCACGCTAAGAAGAATACTAATTTTCGACTCTGATACTATGTATTATAGCACTAATTTTGAAGGGATGCGACAGCCTTTGACTTATAGTCCTACGTGCAGTTTTAATCATGCTAATGGGATTATTTGTTACAAAACTGTTTATTTCCACCAAAAACTAACCGAAAAGCTTTTATCTAACGCTGTAACATGATGCCACCACTTTTCAGGAATGAATAACATTTCTCCTGGTTCTAAAAGACATTTAAACATGGTCGCTTTGGTAAACAGCGGATGTTCCTCTAAATCAGGCTTTACTGGATTCACTTGTGCTGTATTGTTTAGCAGCTTTTCTTCGTGTGGATACAAGTATTGTGTATCGGAGGGAGCAAAAAGGATGACCTGCTTTGTACCGTAAACCTAAAAGTGATAAAAATTTTAATGCAAATTATTAAATACGTTAGTAATATAATTTATACAGAACAATGACAATTTGGCATGTTTTATCATTTGATACGTGAAAAAGCATTCAACTTAATTAAAATAAACAGAGTCAAAAGTCAGTATGCACAAATCATTCGTTTGGCAAAAAAAAGAAAGAACCTTACCATGTAAATGAATTCGGTTATTTAGATTTTTATTCTTTAAAAATATACTTAGCATTAAAGACAATAAGAAAAAAGATCTCTTGGATTTAGTAAAAAATAATCACATTCCCAGTTGTTATTCAGCATTCTATACCTCTTTGTAACAATAAATAAAAAGTTTTTTCTGTTATTCTTTGTTTGCTTTATTATACTCTAACAACGAGATTTTTAAGATGATAATATCTTCTTCTAAAAAAGTGTCACAATATCGGCATGTTTCTATTTTTTTTACTATAAACTGCAAAAATGTAATTTTCTGAGAAAAATAATGCACCAATAACACTAAGCTAATATATTCCAGTTTACAATAAAATAGCATATCAGCTTGCATTAAGTCATGGAACTGACAAATATATATTCAACTGAACTAAAATCTTTAACATAATTTTTCTCAAAACAACGTTTTTTGAAATTTGACTCTTTTTTAGCGGAGGTGCGATATATAAAGGCTACTTACGATTCAACTAACCATCTATACAAATTATTGTATGTAGATTGGCATCTTTCAGTGAGTAACGACCATATAAAGCTAGCCGTTAGTTTAAAATTAATATTTGGCTATAAATCCCAATTTTTCCTAAGTCCTTTAGCTAATTAACAAGAGAGAGTCCGTTCAAATTTTGTAAGAACTATTTCTAGATCACGAATGATGATTTTTAGCTACCGATACTCCAATATTGCAAATATTGTTTTTTATAAAATCACGAACAATTTATGTGATGGTTTTTTTTTTATTATTTTCTTAGTGTGGATTTGCCTTTGAGTCACTCTTCATTTCTTTTCACGATTACATATCAGCCACTTCTGAACTTCGTTTCTGAGAGCATCTTTGGTGATGCCACCCAATTCCCATGCACCGTTAAAGCAGCCGCAATGAAGTATACAGTCAATAATACAGTATTGTGCGAATTAATGTGAACAGAGATTGAAATTCAGTTTTCATAAGTTGGCACACCTGCCTATTCTGTCAACTGTTTCGTAAAAAAAAACCTCAAAACCTTATTAGTATATTGTTCAAAACACATGCTTTGTGTTTTATATCATTATTATACTTTGTTGTATCTCAGGTTATGTGCAAGTTGGTGTTAATTTCATTGATTTAACTGTACAATCAGGTTTAACTTTTTAATATGGATATCACTCCTAGGAAAAGAGAAAGGATCATAACACTTGGTGAGCATACACCAATGACTCAGAGGGACATTGCAAAGGAGTGTTGTGTAAGTTTGGGTGCAGTAAACAAAATAATTAAACAAAAAAAGGAAACAGGGTCAGTTGAAATGCAGCGGAAAGGAAAATGTGGAAGAAAACGGAAGACTACTCCTTGACATGAAGCCCTTATTTTGCGCGAGAGCAAACTTCATCCCAGAAAAACAAGTTATGACCTCCAGCAAGATTTAGAAAAGGCTGGAATAAAAATTCACGACTCAACGGTACGCAGACGTCCCTTAGAAGAAGGGAGAAGAGCCGTGATACCGCAAAAAAAAACAACTTCTGGCAGCGCTTATGATAAAAAAGAGACTAAATTGGGCAAAAAGATACGCTCATTGGAGTGCAGAAGATTGGAGAAAAGTGTTATTTTCTGATGACACTCACTTCCTAGTGCAGGGCCAGCGATCAAAATTCGTACGAAACGCAGCCAATGAGTCACTTTCAGCTAGCCATATTAACCAAACAGTTAAATATTCAACCAAAAAAATGTTCTGGGGCTGTTTTTCATACTCAGGAACTGGCACTCTTATTCCTATTGAAGGTATGATGAACAGTGAAAAGTACAAAGCCATGCTAGGACAACGCTTAGCTATAGAGCTTGACATAGTACAGGCCGAAGAGACCGTAGGAAGGTTATGATGAAATACTTCGAGGATAATAATATTACCCTTCTTGATTGACATGGGAATTCACCTGACCTTAATCCTATTGAAAATTTGTGGGCAATATGTAAGGCTAAACTGCAAAAATTTGACTGTACGACAAAAACAAAAATGGTGGAAGCAGTGATTAAGCTGTGGTTTGGAGATGAAGCAGTCACGAACAATTGCAACAAACTTGTGGATACCATGCCTAGAAGACTCTAGGAAGTCATAAAACTAAAAGGGAGACATATTAAATACTAATTAATGAAAAAATCTCATGTAAGTGTACCTAAATTTACCTTTGGCCTAAATAAATCGTATTTACAAATTAATTCTGTTTGTTCACATTAATTCGCACAATACTGTATGTACAATATAATTTTTTTTTATTTTTATTTACAAATTTCCTATGACATAGTTTAGATTTCAAAGCCTACTATTTCATTTTTTTGTTTTCTCCCGATTCGACTGTTATCGTCAAATATTACTACTTTTCTTTTATTTCTTCGAGTTGCTCAAAGAATCTGTTTCATATTGAATGAATGAATCCTCATTTCCTTATCCATATAAATTTGATTCATTTTGACAGTTCGTTCGTTAATAGTTTCCCAGCCAATAATACCATTCCGTAGAGTTCTTTCAATTATGATTGATTCTGCTTGTTGTACTTATCCTTACCGGAATCAAATTCTTTCCTATCATTGATTAAAAATGATAATGTAACAATAAAACACTGAAAACTTTGTTTTCAAACTTACACAAATTTTATTTTAACTCTTATCACTACAGTTGTTTCGGCTGATTGCCTTTCTCAATGATCTATTTTTGGCTTGCGTTTACACTTTATAGTCTCTAATGAAATAGGTTGAGAGGGGAGAACTGTTTGTCATTCAAGTTGGTCATTCAGAATTATATCTGTGTTTTTTAATTTGTTGATTTCCATAGATTCTAGCAAAGATAGCTTAAGGCCTTTATTTTGAATGTGAAGAATTTTAAATTTGTCATTAAAAGAAGGATTATGATCTAGAAGGTGAAGTGCGTATGTCGAATCTGTTTTTCTATTATTGAAAGCCCTTTTATGTTCTGCTATTCATTTATTAAAGTTTCTACCAGTTTGACCGATGTAAGTTTTTGGGTAGTCGCCACATTTAAGTTTGTACACACCACTATGTAAGTGTTTTTTATTTTGGCTCTTGTTATTTTTGATATATTTGACTAGGTTGTTATTTGTTCGGAAAGCTGGTGTTATTTCTTTCTTTTTTATGTGTTTGGCTATTTTTGTTGTTATTTTGCCTGTGTATGTAATCGAGCAGAAGGTACTGCGTTTTTTCTCTGGTGGTGGAAATACTAATTTCAGGGCTTTCTTGTGCAGTTTTTGATTTAACATTTTATTATTGTTTGTTCGTTGTATCCGTTGTTTACTGTTATCTGCTTAATTATATTTAATTATGTCTCAAAGTTGTATTTTGACATCGGAATTTCTGTTAATCTATGTAACATACTATGATATGCTGCCAGTTTATGTTGTGTTGGATGGGATGATGAATTGTTTATAGTCGTGTCAGTATGGGTAGGTTTATGAAATATGGAGAAGTCATGTTTGTTTTTAAGTCTGATAATTTTTAAATCTAAAAAATTTATGGATTGATTTTGTTCTGTTTCTATTGTAAATTCAATATGACTATGAAGTGAATTAATATACGATAAAAATTGGTCGAGTTCCCTGTTACTTCCTGTGAAACATACCAGTACGTCGTCTACGTATCTACACCAATATAAAAACTGTTTGAATACGGGATGTTTTGAAATCTTTGTCTCTAGATGATCGATAAAAATATCTGATAGCAATGGGCTTAGAGGATTGCCCACCCATTATAAGTCCTGCACTGTTATTTGTATAATTTAATTAATAAATTCAAAGTAGTCCTGGTTTATGCAAACTTCAAGACGATGTAAAATTTCAGATGTAATTATTGGATTTGTACTATTTTGGTCTAAAAGGTTTTTTACTAGAATAAAAGTTTCTGAAGGAGCGATACAAGGAAAAAGATTTTTTACGTCAAATGAAATTTATCTGGAGTTCTTAGGTAATTGAAAATGTTGTATTTTATTATTAACTAGTTCTATTGTATTTTTTATGGTAAATTTAGGTGACAATTTAGTGTGTTCTAAAATAATCTCTAACAGCTTTTTTGAATGTTTATATGACGGAGCTGTATAAAAAGAAACTACAGGTCTTATTGGGTGATCCGGTTTGTGTAGTTTAATGAAAGAGTATAATTTGGGAGGCTGTGGGTTCATGATATTGAGATATTTCTGTTCTATTGGATTTACTATTGATTTTGAATTTTCTAACACTAGCTTAATTTGTTTTTGATATTTTTCTGTCGGATCTTTGCCATCAATTAAAAATGATAATGTTTCGCCAATCATTAGATTAACTGTCTAATGTCTATAACTAATACGGCTTTATAATGAATTAATAACTATGCTTGTTGAATCATCAAGACTACTGTAATGTTTGATTATTTGTGTTAATCTATATGTTAATATAGATTAACAAATGCTTCTTGTTCTTATTTTTATGTAGATATGACTCTGTCTGTTTTTCAATGCGTGTCCAGTAAGTTGTCGTTCCATCGCTTTCGTGATTTTACTATTGGGGAACCGTCTCTTACCGTCTTTAATCCTCTATTTGTTGTCATTCGGCTTATATATTCGTTCCATTCTACTCTTCTATTTCTTACCCAGCCCTTCATGTTCTCCACTTTGCATCTACATCCTATATCTGTACTTCTAGCTCTGCCCCATAGTAGTTTACCATCAATTTTTCGAAGTGTTTTCATCTCTGCTATTTCTAAAATCATTTTTGTCCTCTCTGTGTAGGTCGTGTTTCTGCCTCGTATGTCATTATTGGTGTGATGACTGTTTTGTAAATTTTGTCTTTCATTTCTTTCCTGATATTTTTATATCTCCATATTGTTTCATTCAGGCAACCTGGGTCTCTGTTTGCTCTATTTACTTGATGTTCCACTTCTGTTTCGAGCTTTCCTTAGCTATATAATGGGATGCCTGGATATTTAAATTTCATCACTTGTTCTATTATGTGACCTTCCAGCTCTAATTTACATGTTGGTAAATTTGCTGCTATAACCATGCATTTTGTCTTTTTTGAGGAAATTAACATATTAAATTTTCTGGTGGTTATATTAAATTGAGAGAGTAGTATTGCGTCGTCTGCATAACAGATTATTTTGTTGTTTTTCTCCCATTTGGTATCCTTTTTTAGTTCTTGCTTTTTTTATTATTTCATCCAAAATCAGGTAGAACAATAGAGGACCCAGGGAATCTCCCTGTCTTATCCCATTGTCAGCTTCAATAAAACTGTTCTTCTTCCACTTTTAATTTTATTGTGTTGTTTTGGTAGATATTTTCGATTGTTTTGATTATTCCTAGAGGTATTTCTCTTGCGTACAATAAGTGGATAACTTGCCTTGTTAACCCAAGAAGCTGATATGCCAGTTTGTTGTACTCTAATTCTCGATCTGCAACCTTGTTGTTCTTCTGCTAGAGTTGCAATTTCATTCAGTTTGTTTGTTATCACTTTGGATATTAATTTTAGTGTGTTTAATAATTCTTCTGTAATTTCAAGTGTCCGATTTGTCTCCTTTTTAAAGAAAGGTATTAGGATACTTGATCTCCATTCTTGAGGAACTCTGTTTTATTCGATTATTTTTTGGATTAGTTTTAGTAGTTATTTGGTCAGATCTGGTCTGACCAAACATCTATGATCAAAATCAAAACTGGGTTGGCATTAACAAATGCAAACATTTATATTTACCTGAGCAAGTAAATTATTACTTGGATCAGTATGCAAGGGAGACACAGTTCCTTTAGGTCCGAACCAAGCATTTATATCAGGGTCAGCATCATTTACACTCATACCACAATATTCCGGAATACAGATGTCATCTTTCAACTTAGGGATCTAAAATAAATAAATAAATATACAGATTGAACCAAATTAAAACGGAACATACAATTTAATACATGTCTGTTTGAACTGCATTTGAAATAGTGGACCAATATAAAACTTGGACAAAAATAAATCCATACCTGGGTATAGACATTGTATAAAATATCGTTCAACTATCTGTCTCGCAACAAAGTTGTTTGCGTAAGACGGGTTTGTCTAAGGAGGCGATAATAGTTCAGGAAATGAAGTTCGAAAAAAGTTAAAACCTCGCAATTTTTTCGTCCTGCATGTATCCAGTTGAAATTTTAGCAGAAGGTAGGTAATAGCCCAAGGATCAAAATCTATATCGAACCGAAGTGCGCTGAAGGGTTTTAGGGATGAAAACTACCCCTAATTGTCAAAAATTATAAAATAACATATTAAACGTGAATATGGGTAAGATTTGGTTTGAATTAGTTAAATAATGATTATTTTATACTTTTGAATAGAGTTCCATCATATTTCAACCCTTAAAAAGCAACCCTTGTTAGAGATTAATGTAAAAAATTACTAATTCTAAAAAGATGATTTCGCCTTGGATCGATTTGGATAAAAATTTGGATTTAAGCTCAATTCACCCGCTGCTTTATACTTTATGTCATGTCGACGAACCCTGATTGTTCTTAGGGGTGAAAACTACCCCTAATTGTCAAAAATTATAAAATGACATATTAAACCTGAATATGGGTAAAATTTGGTTTGAATTAATTAAATAATGATAGTTTCGTGCTTTTGAATAAAGTTCCATCATATTTCAACCCTTAAAAAGCGACCCTTATTAGAGATTAATATAAAAAAATTAGTAATGCGAAGAAAATGATTTCACCTTGGAACGATTTGCATAAAAATTTGGAATTAAGCTCAACTCACCCTCTGCTTTATAGTTTATGTCATGCCGATGAACCCTGATTGTTCTTAGGGGTGAAAACTACCCCTAATTTTCAAAAATTGTAAAATATTATTACAAATCTTAAGATGAGTGAAATTTGGTTTGGATTAGTTAAATAGTGAGTTTTTTATACTTTAAAATACAAATTCATACATTTTTAACCCTTAAAAATCAATTGTTATGAGTGCTATAGGTGAAAACAATTAGGTTTTGTAGATTATTATGCTCCGAAATGTACTGTACTATACTAATGGAATTTTCCGGAAAAAAATTAACTGATTTTTTTAACGTATTTCCTTTAATTTTTAACGATAGAGTGTTTCTTCAAAAACGATTTGTAGAGGTTTTTAATAGCTACAAGGATCTGTGAATTAAATCTTTTTGGAACCCTTGGTTTTTAAATGGGGTGAGTTTAAAGGGCTCGAAAAAGATGGTGCTTGATCGTAAATCGATGCTTTAAACGGCTATATCTCGCCAAATATTCATTGTACAACAAATCTAAATAAAGGATAATTTTAGTCATTAAAAAAGCTACAATTTGGTAATTTTTATTTTTTTCATATATTCAGTATTTTCGGGCATATTTAAAAAAAGAAGGGTAAAACATATGAAATTGTAAATCGTTTCTCGCTTTAAGCTGTACTTTTTCTAAAACTAAGCATTTTAAATGGGTCAAACTTCTTGGACGTATTAACAATACATCTACAAAGGGAATTGCAGAAGGGTGAAGATCGATTTTAATTATGGGGGTGGTTAGGGTGTTGTTTTCCTCGATTTTTTCGTAAAAAATGGGGTATTGACCTAATTTTTTTATGATAGGTCTATTTATGCTCTTTAAAAAAGGTTTTGTGAGTTTTCTTCCAAAAATACATCATTTTCCCGATATTTGACTTTTTTTAAATCTTTCTAATTTGGCATTTGAAGAAAACCGCTGAACATTGATATTGTATTTGTAATTGTATTTGTCTTTTTAAAAGCTACAAATTTGTTCTCTACAATTTTTTTTGATAAAATGCACCATTTTCGAGTTATTCGCGAAAAATCGATTAAAAACGTGGATTTTTTGTCTAAAAGTTGTTACTTTCAATCGCGAATAACTTGAAAAATATTATTTTATAAAAAAAATGTATAGCACATTTTTTGTTTAGAATCACTTTTCTAATCGAAACCTGTAGTTCAAACGTAAAAAAAAAATTCACCCCGGAGATGGGGTGGCAACCACCCCCTAGGCTTTGGCGTACTTTGGTTCGATATAGATTTTGATTCTTAGGCTATTACCTACCTTCTGTTAAATTTGAAGTCAATCCACGCCGCACGAAAAAATTGCGAGATGAAATGCTACATTTCCTGGACTATAACTGGTTTGACAGCATAATAAAATCGTAGATTTATGTGTAGCTTTCAATTTTTATGAGTTCAGAATCCAGCAGCCCGCTGAAGTATGGGATTTTTTATAATATAATTATTTGACAATCTTTTGTTGGCCAACCAGCTACAGCAGAATTGAGCCGAAATACATTATATTCCTATGTTCCGAATTTATTTCGTTCAATCTATATATATGTATATATATATATATATATATATATATATATATATATATATATATATATATATATATATATATATGAAAGTAAACAATTGTCTATACGTCTTTCGATTTATTCAATTCTCATCAGGAACACTTGTGGTAGTTCAAACTGAAATTTATAACATAACTGAGTACGCTAGCAACACATCTATACGAAGCAACGCGAAGTCAGGGGACCTCTGTTTGATGATAGGGAATTAGGTGAACCGCAAAGTCAAAGCTTATTGGAAGCTATTGAATAAGAATAACCTTCCATTCTGACAATAAATATATAGTTTACCTTTTAAAACACTATCTTTTGTACTCTTTACATTTAGAAAAGACGTTGACGTAAAAGTAAACGATTGCATTTCTTTTCAATTCGAACTCTACCATTGTTTTACACGTGTTTCGAGTAATTCAACTCTCATTCGGATCACTTGTGGTAGTTCAAACTTAAATGAAATGTAATCTATTATTTGGTCGTTATAATTCGCTATCGAAAAGAGATCTCCTGACTTCTTGTTGCTTTGTATCGACCTTTGTGTAGCATACTCAGGCATGTTATGTTATTATAAATAAATAAATCTCGTATACTCCTTACTAGAAGTACCAGTCATAAGCGTTATTACCTGACTTGTCGATCCATGATTTTTCAACCAAAATGACTTTACCACAGTACATACCTGCTCAAATAAATTATGCTGGGCTAAATATCCTATGTTTCCATCTTCTGATAGATAATACTTGGTAACAAAATCTTTGAGTGTCATCAATTTTTGAGACCAGTTTTCATGAGTATACTGCGAACCTACTTCAATCGGTACAGTGCGATCACCTGCTATTTCTAACAGATAATTTAAGTCCGCCCATTTCTTCGAAGCTGGCCAATGATTTAAACAGCCTGCAAAAATTTGAAAAGATAATATAAAAATAGGATTCGTCTACAAATTATATAATTTTTTATTTATCTTATCATTTTCGTATCACAATAATTAAATTCCATAACAAGTTTTACTACCGGAATACTCAAGAGTTAAAAATTAAATTAAATCCGCTTCAGAATAACTCTTACCAACGTGTACTAATTTCGACAATGATCGCAATGATTTTATTTAGCTAACATGAGTATTTTCAAGAGAGGGGAGTCTGGGTAATATAAACAGCTATGCAGTGGCGTTGCAATATTAAACCATTTGAGAAGAATATTTTATATTTGAAATTCAAAAATATTGTATAACAATCAATGAAACTTGCGTTTACAAAGAATTTGTTTATCTTTAAAACCGTAATTATAATATAGGGTAGACCGGGGGAATCCCGACATACAGGGCAATACCGATACAGTGGATTTTGGTTTTATTTTTAGTTGAACACGTCACTGTATAGTGCTGCTACTTAGCGAGTGACTCAAACACCACAGTTAGCGCTTAGTTAGTTTAAAGTATGTAGTTATTTTATTCTGAATTGGTATGTAGTTTATTAGTTTTTGATCTAATTATTGACTTCTCTACAAATGAAGGTTATAGTCTCTATAACAAATTATATTATTATAAAAACACTCGACAAATAGAAAGTGCAAATTATAAAGATAATTTTAGTATAATTCATATTACATTTTAACATTTAGTTAAGTATGTAGAATTGTGTAACCGCATCTCATCAATGGGGGAAATATCGACAGGTGTCAGTATTTCCTCATTTATTTTAAAATTAAATATGCAGTTCTTTGATACCAAAGACGTTGCTTTTGATGTGTTTTAGATGGTGAGATTGAGAAAAAGAACAACGGAAAGGGGCAAATGAAACGATGAGTCACTAAGAAAGGCATTTGAATTGCTTCAAGGTGAACGATCCGTAAAAAGTGTTGCCGCTGAATTGAATATTCCAAGAATTACGCTTTATGACCGTCTCAAATTTAATTCTACCAAAAAACCAGCCTTGGGACGAAAACCGTATTTTTTATCAGAACAAGCAGCTATATTAGCCAATCACATTAAACAACTATCAAACCAGTTTTATGGCATTACTTTGACGTACTTACGCAGACTTGTGTATAATGTTGCTGAAAAGTTAAAAATAAATCATAATTTTAATAAAGGTACCAAAATGGCTGGGGAGGACTGGGTTTTCAGATTTCGTAAGAGGAATGCTACGTTAAGCCTAAGACAACCCTCAGCAACAAGTCTGAACTGAGTTATTGCCTTTACCAAATCTGAAGTGGATTTATTTTTTCCAATTTGGAAGCAGTTTACAAGAAACATATTTTTAAGTCCACTAGAATATTTAATATGAACGAAACCGGTATATCTACGGTCCAAAAACCTGGAATGGTTTTAGCTACTAAGGACCAACATCAGGTGGGTTCTGTCACAAGTTGGGAAAGAGGCAGAAACCTTACGATTGTCTGCACTTTGAGCGATTCAGGTGCATACATACCGCCCATGTTTATATATCCTAGGCAGAAAATGTCACCTCGGTTAGAGAAAGTTGGACAGCTGGAGCCATTTACAAATGCTCCCATAATGGCTGGTCAAATGAAGAGCTCTTCATACAGTGGTACACATATTTTAAAGACAACGTAAAACCAACAAAGGAAGATCCCGTCTTATTGATCATGGACAATCACGGGAGTCATAACTCTCTTGATAGTTATGATTATTGTAGATCTAATACATGTTGTCTCAATACCACCTCACACATCACATAAACTACAGCCTTTGGATTTGTCTTTTAATGGCCCCCTGAAGAAAGTATTCGACATACAGCCTGACAGGTTCTTGAGGGAAAACCAATTTCAGAAGATTTCTATGTATGACATAGCACCTATATTTAATTAAGCTTACTTGAAAGTCGCAACGATGGATAAATGATTTTCAGGGTTTAGTGCTTCAGAGATTTTACCATACAGCCCTGAAAAATTTACTGATATATACTTTGTCACTGAACTCAAATTCCAGTCATCGTTGACTCTAAAAATGTTTATGAACCAGCACTTGGTGCAACTCTTCATGAACACAATCATAATGTCACTGGGGAGCTTACTTGCTTTTGACACAAATCTAACGACTTGTGTCAAAACTTGTCAGATTTTAAAACATAATCCAGAAGATATGGTACAGAAATTGGGAACCAAGACATTAAAAATGTTTGAAAAGAGTGAAAAAAGTAAACAAGGCTACAAATAAATGAAGATTATTTTGAAGAATCGTCTATCGAAGAAGATATAGATGAATCAAAAATATGTGATGATAACAAATTTGATGAGTTTTGAATTATATTCCGAAAACACTGAAATGTGTTTAGTGTGACTTTGACTATTGTTCTATGAACTAAGTTCTTTGTTGTATAAACAACTTTTGATTTTTAATATATCTACAATAATTATGTATCTGCTTATATTGTTTTCGTTCATGTATTTAATGTTTTCGTATATAGCGATACCATCAGTTGCCTCATTATTTTCTTATTAATACTACTGTCGGCATTACCCCAAATGTCTGTCGGAATTACCCCGGTGATCGGGGAAATACCGACACTTTGCTAAGGTTAGGGAAAAAAATTTTTTTAAATACGTAAATGACATTGTTTTACCAATATTACAGACCCAATGGATGCGGAAAATTCCAATTATAGTATAAATATTTTCATAAAAAACCTAACCAATAAAGAATAAATCTGAAAATTCAAATTTTAATGTCAATGTTAAAATCACAACTTGCACCATATCATCCAGACTTAAACCCTATAGAAATCGTTTGGGTGCAAATAAAAGATGGAATTGCAGAACAAAATATTAATTTTATGTTAGGAGGTATAAAAGTGTTGGTGGAATAGGAATTTGACAATGTAACTCTGGATAACTGAAAAAAAAGGTGTGAACATGTTGTCAAGCTCGGAAATAAGCATTACGGAAAATTAATGTAAAATATAGTACGCTAAGTTTGAGATGATATTGTAATGGCAGCATTGCTTCGTACGAGATAATTATCATTCCTGATCTACTCCGACACCACGACAGAAAATCATCATAATAGCATGTAACAATGGATGGGAAGCACATCTCTGTCATTCGAAGGATGTTTTCATTACATATACCTGGTTCATTTATTAGAGTACCTAGATAAGCTCTGTAGAAATACACTGACCTTTATAAAGCGGTTCATTTGTATCGGTTTTAACCTTAAACAAATGACAGGAACATGTGGCAAATGTTCCAAGAACTGTATTTTTAAAGAACCTAATAAAGGTATAGGGAAAATTTTTAGTTATCCTTGTGACATTTGCAAAAATGTTTTATGCAAAAACTGCACTGGAATTAGCTCGACAGAGATAAGGTGTCTCTTTCTGGTCATTCGAATTGTTTGTGTGGTGACTGCGTGCCAGGAATAAAAAGACAGTTGCACTAAACAGTAAACAAGTGTGTAAAAGTATTAGAAGATACACTAAGTGAAATCAAAATTGCAAACTGTCAAAAAATGGAGGAGTTTGAAAAACAGATTCGTGAGGTAACTGATGAAGTCAAGAGTTTGAAAACCAATTTTACTACCTCATTTGAAGACATTAAGAAGGATCTTACCTTCATAAAAAATACCACCTCTACATCAAATACAAAAAACCACAATAATTACAGTTCCACATTGGTGCACGGCAGTGTTTTATATGAAGTGTTTGAGAGACAAAAGAGATCTTGCAATCTTATGATCTTTAATATGCCACAAGATGGTGAGGAAGATGATACATCTAAAGCTAAAAGCTAAGGAAATACCGTCGGGCTTAGCTGGTTCTGATATAAAAATAGACAGTTCAATTAGAATTGGTAAACTAAATAAAAATGGGTATCAATCACTGCGACTAACTCTAGAGTCACCTGAAATGGTTCGGTTGATATTGAGAAGCAAGAGGGAGTTGAATGGAGGTTTAAACGTATTCCTGGAAGCTGATTTAACTACTGAAGAACGAGCTGAAGTCAATGCACTGAAAAATGAGTTAAAAGAAAGATAGTTTAAGGGTGAATCCGATCTAGTTTCGAAATATGTTTGTGCTAAAGTTAATACGAAAAAACTAAACATGTCTACCTGGTTCAAAGCCTCCTCAGTCGAATCTTCAAAAGCACTGGTGTAGTTTCAGAATGACAGAGGATTACATACAAAACTGCAAATGTTTGACTACAAAATATATAGAAGAGATAGATCATCAGAATCAAGTACCTTTAAAAAAGGTGGAGGAGTGCTTATGGCTGTCCGGAAAACCATAACCAGTGTTCTTTTGTTAGCGACTCAAAATATTGAACATTTGTTTGTCAAGATTGAGATTGGCCACATTGACAAGTTTATCTTTGCAACTGCCTACTTTCCCCCACATAGTATCATTGAGAAGTATGTCAAATTTGCAGAAAATGTAGATAATCTAGCTGAAAAGTATCCAGAATGTAAGTTATATATCCTATATAAATACATAAGATTAAAATCTCCCCAATTGTCAGTGGTCCATTGATGGCTACTCAATTACTAGGAACCTCACCAAATGAAGTCCATTCCATTCAATTCCTCTCATTTTTATGTTTGATAGTCTGTATCAAGTAAACACTATTAAACATGAAAATTTCACATTTCTTCAAAAAGGTAAAACAACAAATATACTCTTATTGAAAATAAAAAATAATTCCTAATAAAACAAGAAATAATTCTTTACCCCCTATTGTCCTACAGAAATGATTAATATATTCTTCAATATTCAAGAAGGAAAGACCTACAAATGCTGGATTATTTAGAAGATACAAAGATTGATCCAGAATTTTGCCTATTAAAAAAATAATGAAAACTGTTACTGCATGCAACTTTTTTATTATTTTTATTCTTAAATAACAACCAATTTATTTCTGTAAAAAATGGGAAACCATTAATGTATTTATTAAAAATTAGATCACTTCTAACTCTACAAGGATAGAACACAAATAATATAAATTTACACACCTACCTTTAATTTTTACTGGTAGCTGGGCAAAAAAATATTGTTCAATAAATTCTTGCAGAGAAGGACATTCAACAGACTCTACTAGCCTTCCTTTTAAGTTCATAAAATCATTAGGTTCATCAATTTTTCTTTTCAATAAATTTTCTCTAATATCAGTCTTATTTTCTGCCACATTATATATTTGCAGTTCTTTCCTTAAATACTCTGCAGAACCTGTTAGAAGGTCAGGATTTTCTTCCAATGGAGCCCCAAGTAACAGGCCCATATCCAATGAATTCAGACATTCCTTTAATAAATTCGGTCTACTATTTCTACCACTATTTAAAAGAATGAGGCATTTCACATAACTGCATATTGTAAAACAATGTCTTACTTTAATAGGCACTTTACACCAGTGCCCTAAATTAAGTTCATCATTAAGATAATCTATAATAACATTAATCTCCAATAGCCTCTTTTCTGACGATACTTTTAAATTTAAGGAATCTTTTAAGCATTGTGTTAGTACACTACGGATATCCCTGTTAAAATAACCAAGTGGAATTCTATGAAGCTCTAGATCACTGTAAATAAACTTTTTCAGTTCACGTTGTAAATTTAAGGGGTGCTTCATGTCCATCCACTGTTAAAATTCTACAAAAAAAATATTTATTACTGCCTATGTAGTCTTCCATAAATCTAATTCAAATACTCTTAAAAAATCTAATTGTTCTACTCAATTAGTCAGTGATCTACCTACAAAATTATCTCATTATATCAGAGAATTACAAATGAGTGTGAAATCAAGTAGATAATGAATGAAAAAAGGTAATAACATAGGTAACAAATATGGAAAAACTGTATTCAGAAGGACTTTAATAATGTATCTGTTAAATATGAAAATATACACCAAAAAAATACAAGACATTCACGGATCATAAATGAGAAAAAATTACTTTATTTAATCTAATTTCCAACTTACTTCATTAATGTTTTTAAACTTTGGAGAATTGAAGGTTAGGTATTTAATATTTTGTAGAATAATCAATCCTTTATTCTGACATTTAGAATTCGGTGTTGTGTGTTGCCGCATTTTCGGCGATACATACAGTGTGACCCATTTAGATTGGAAACACCTGTATAAATTTGAAGTTGCCAACAGGACTGTATTTGCGGAGACCTTGTGAACTATCACGGGTTGTGTTCTTTTGCATGTGTTATCAGTAGAATGGAGACATATATATGAGAAAAGAGAGTCTTTGACTACAACAGTCATAAACAAAGAAGAAAAGGAAATACCAATGAAAAGTGGGCAAGAAAAGTGGCACAGCACAAAAGATGTTGCCCAGTGGACTAAGACTGTGTGGACTGTGGTCACAGGAGACTGGATTACTTTCTGACGCAAGTTCTCACAGGATATGACTGTTTTAGGGCGTATCTACACAGATTCAGACAGACAGATACAGACAAATACCTATACTGGAAATACTCCCACACTGTTACTCACACAATGCTAAAGTGTAGTAGATGGACAGTGGAGAGAAACAGAACGTATAGAGAAACAGGTATGAGCCCCGTGACTTAAAGAGAAATGATCGTAAAAATGACGGGGAGTAAAGAGGGATTGAATAGTGTACACAATTATATCCGAACAGTCATTAAGAAGAATAAGAGAAACACCAGCCGGACGAACAGCAGAGATAAGATCTAGATAAGACAAGGGAGTGATCTGAAAAATTCGTAAACCTTACAGCAGCCATTCCACTTTCGGAGTACGGTAAGTGCGACAGTCAACTTCATGCAAGTAAGAGAGGATGGTTTTTAGTTGGTAGCACAAATAACAGGAAAGCATAAGTTTGCAGGACCTCCTTCTAGAGGCAAATGGGCTCGAATGTACTCCTCTACCCTGAATCCAACACACGCCAGCTATGCCTGGGGATGGGTTAATCTGGTACGGTTTCTGATGCAACTAGATAGATAAAAAACAGTAGTAAAATTTTGCCAATGCGTAACCACTGACGTAAACATTAACAATGGCCGACTTTTTTGTATACGATCGAGATGTTGGACACAAAAGACCACGAGGTTCGCTTGTGGTACTTATAGCGCCAAATTTAAAGTAAATCTTTCTCTGGGTACAAGGTGTCCCAAGGTATCCATTCATGTTTTCTCTTCTTCTTCTAGTGCCGTCTCCACCTTAATAAAGTTTTGCTATAACCATTACAAATTCGTCTCTATCTTCTGCGATTCTTAAGAACGTCTGTGTGTTTAACCCGATCCAGTCGCGAACGTTTTTCAGCCAGGATATTTGTGGTCTACCAGTAAACCTGTCTCCTTCGATTTTACCCTTCATAATCAATAACTCGTACTTACCATTTCTAAGTATGTGCCCCAAATATGCTGTCTTTCGCCTTTTAATGATGGTCAAAAGTTCTTTGTCTCTTCACATTCTGTGTAACACCATTTCGTTCGTAATATGATCGATTCATGACCCTTTCAAGGATCCATTCAAAATTCTCCTAAAAAGCCACCATTCTGGGTTGCTATCGACCAGGTTCTCATTGCAAGGAAATATGAAGAAGTCCAGATGGGAATACAGTAAACCAAATCGACCATGTTGTGGTTGACGCAAGACACTTCAGCGACGTGATAGACGTACGTGCAAAACGGGAGGCGAACATAGACTCGGACCATTACCTACTACAAGCTAAACTAAGAGCTAGAATCTCCAATGGAAAGAACGAAACAGGAGTTAAAGAGGAAAAGTTTAAAGTAGAAGCATTGAAGAACACTGAAATAGCTAAGAGATTCAAGAAAAGTCTCGAAAGCAAGTTGAAAGGCAACAACTATTAGAGGCAGTGTAGATGTAGATATTGGAAGAAGTGGTAACTGAATTTATCGGAAAGCAAAAACGTAAAAAATTAAGTTCAGACTGGTACTATGAGGAATGCGCACAAGCAATGCAAAGAAAAAAATCAGGCATATCGAAGACTCCAGCCGTAAGCTGGAGTACTTGGGACATATAATGAGAAATCAAGGCAGATACGAGCTACTCCAATGCATTTTGCAGGGTAAAATTGAAGGAAAAAGAGCCCCAGGACGAAGAAGAATATCCTGGCTTGCTAACCTGAGAGCATGGTATAGAAAGACCTCAACACAGCTATTTCGTATAGCAACCAACAAAATCATCATAGCCCGAATGATCGCCAACGTTCGGAACGGACAGGCACCCTAAGAAGAAGATAGAAGCCTCCAAAGGCGAAGAACGAGACAAACAGAGGAAGAGTATAGGCAGCTGAGACGAGAAGAAAAACGAATACTTAAAAAAAAAGAAGAAAGAGCATATAGAGAGCCAACTAAAAGAACTAAGAGGCACAAGAAGAAACGCGAAAGTTCTACAAGAGGATTAACCAGAACAGGAAAGAATTCAAATCTAGATCATCAATCGTTAGAAATAGAACAGGGGAGATAATTGGTGATCAGGACCAGATACTAGAAAGATGGGCAGAAAACTTCGAGGAAAGGCTAAATATATGAGGTGAGACAGAGCTCACTAAAGCAAAAGACAGTTATTTTTCCAAAAATTTGCAATTAAAACACGGCCAGGTTCATGAAAGGAAGTGATTAATAAACAACAAGTAAATTTTATTGTAAAATATCTTCGTCCAATGAATATAATGTAATTTTTAATTATATTTTTACAAACACCCTTTTAACGGGTTTTCCTGGTGGTCTCTTACCTCTTGGTTTTAAATGTCTTGGTATTTGGACTATTCTTTATGTCTTTATTGGACTACTTTGCATTGTTTAATAAAATATCTTTGACCGATCTCTGGATGAGAAGAGTGTCTCCTTACGTAAATTTCCTTTCCAATATTAATATTACAATACAGAGATACAAAGAAATATGTAATAAAGAACAACATTTTTGAAATAAAACTTTATTTATTTTAAAATAAATGTAAAGAAAATATTTTAACAATGCAAATAAAAATATAATAATTATTTAAATACAAATACGTTGAAAAATCACAATAATATATCAAATATTTTAATCTTAGACAAATTCCCAATCACTTAGTGAATCATCCGATTTAACACTAATGGCTCGTTCTCTCAAATGTATGTTGCTCAGGCCCCACGTATTTGGGATGTTCATACAAGCTGAAAGAAGTCGTACAATAAAAATGAAATAAGTTTATGGGGAGCGAAATGATGATGACACATGAGCATAAGTTTTAGCCACTGACCACATAATAAGATTATTATTATTTTATCAATTATTAGTCCTTTGGGTTTGGCAATACAGAGATCGTCTAAATAACGCACGGTCCAGAACACGAATTACAGTTCTGCGACATAAAAATTGTTTAAAATTGAATTAGTGATTTTTATAGTATTTTCAACGCTAATTTTGGGAAAAATAGTGAAAACATTCCATCACGTACAGTTATTCCACAAACTGCTTGTCTATTTTTAGCTTTTTTTTTTTTTGATATTTTTATACATAGTTCCGTACTCTAGTGAGTTTGAATTTTTGTTTATTGGATCTTTATGAACTGTTTATTAAGCCCATAGTACTTTTAATAAGTATAAAAAATACTTTAAGGTATTTTCAGTTATTTAGCTGTTTTTTTACTATACAAGTTGTATGTAAAATAAAGAGTTGATTAGGAGAAACCAGCATTATTTTCATGTCGGTACTTGTCCATTGCCTCCCCTCCCTCGCCATCCACTTACTGACTCACTGAGCATCTTTTATGTCAGTGCCTGCTGCCACAGTGCCAATCCCCCTCTCCATCACCAAGCAGTGAGCTTCTGCTACCTTTTCTTCAGTTCAAGGTATGTATCACTTCACTCTGTGCTGTTCACGTGCTGTGGTTACTAGTGATTTGTAGTAGTGATTGTGAGAGTAGTATTAAATGATATCTCGTGACACACGGATAGTTGGCAATAAAGTGTGAATCAAATAACTTTCAGTGATTTTTTATCGAACTACAAAGAACATAAATTCAAGGCATCAGCCTAAACAGATTGTTTTCTTGTGGTGTGAATTTGTTTTATTAAAAATGGCTACCAGAGGATGTATCAACTCACCAGATTGCTTCTGCTACATTTGTGGTAACTATACAGTTAAAAAGCAACAAAGAAACATTTCAGATTTTGTTGAAAAGGTATATTTTGCCTATTTTGGTATAAAGTTGGGTGATCAAGACAAGTCTTGGGCCCCACACAAAGTTTGTTCAGTGTGTGTTGAAGAACTGAGACAATGGTTTCAAGGGAAAAAGCAGTCATTCCGTTTTGGAATACCAATGGTTTGGAGGGAGCCCAAAAACCATAGTGATGACTGCTACTTTTGTTCTTGCAATGTTCAAGGTTTCAATTTGAAAAACAAAAAGGATATTTCTTACCCTAACATCAAATCAGCCATTCGCCTTGTTCCTCATGGACCTGAAGTACCAATATCCTCTCCTCCAGTTTCTTTGGATGGTATTTTAGATGACCACGAGCCATTGGCTCAGCTAGGTGAAAGTGAAGAAGACAGTGATGGCTACGATCCTGGCACAACCGATCCCGTTCCATTCTCACAATCTGAACTGAATGATTTAGTTAGAGACCTAGGTCTTCCTAAAGACTCGGCAGAACTTTTAGGGTCTAGATTAAAAGATAAAAATATGTTGGCGCTGGGTACGTCCTTTTCTTGGTATCGTTCCAGGGAAAAGAAGTTTGCATCTTTTTTCTCTCAAGAAGGTTACTTGGTGTTTTGCAGTGATTTTCCTGGACTTATGGCACGTTTCAAAATAGAATATGCTCCTGATGAGTGGAGACTTTTTATAGATTCTTCAAAAAGAAGGCTTAAAGCAGTGCTTCTACACAATGGCAATAAGTATGCTTCTATGCCAGTTGGAGATTCTGTTCACTTGAAAGAATGTTAAAAAAACCTCGAACTGCTATTCAGACCATAAATCGACACTATGTGGTGATTTGAAAGTGATCTCAATGCTACTTGGTCAACAAAGTGGTTATACAAAGTTTCCTTGCTTTCTCTGTGAATGGGACAGTAGAGACAGAAAGCAACACTACATTAAAAAAGTTTGGCCCTTGAGAAAAACCTTACAGGTGGGGGTTAAAAATGTTGAGAGGAAAAGCCTTGTGGATCCCAAAAAGGTATTACTACCACTACTCCACATTAAGTTGAGGTTAATGAAACAATTTGTAAAGGCGTTGCCAAAAGAAGGGGAGTGTTTCAAGTATCTTTGTGGACAGTTTCCTGGATTACCCGAGGCAAAACTAAAGGAAGGAGTCTTTGTCGGACCAGACATTAGAAAACTGATGAGAGATCCCAATTTTATGGACAAAATGGAAACAAAAAAGATCCTAACTACAAGACAATCGTCGCAAACATGCTCGACAACTTTAAGAAGCTGGGATGTAACATGAGCATTAAAGTTAATTTCCTCCATTCACATCTAGACTACTTCCCTGCAAACCTTGGTGATGTAAGTGAAGAGCAGGGTGAAAGATTCCACCAAGATATCAAGGAAATAGAAAGAAGGTATCAAGGAAGATGGAACGTCAACATGATAGCGGACTACTGCTGGATGCTAAAACGAGATGACCCTCAACGAGTACACAGCCGGAAAAGCAATAAAAGAAGCTTCGACGGAAAGCAAAAGCGTTACTATAAGGACTTATGAGCTTAAAGAGAAATGTAAGTGTACTAGATATGTAGTTTATAACATGTATTATACATGAAATAAAATCCTTTAACTTAAAAAAAAATTTGAAAAATTGCTAAAATTTTGTTATACCAAAAAGTAATTCCTTTTTTGTGAGAAAACCTTACGTGATAGAAAAAAATGGATTGCATTTTTACAACCAGCGCTGAAAAATATATAAAAATCAGTTATGAAATTCCAAACAATTTTAAAAAATATTTTTTTTGTAAACCTGTGAATTGATAATTCTGATTCTGGTCGTGGAAGCATCCAAACTTGTACACATTATTTAAGATGTGACCTTAAATATATTAATGTTAGGTATTACATATTATAAATTATGAGAAAGTAAGGTCAGTCTAATATGAAGAGGAAAGCAACATTACGAAACAAGTAGGACGTAGGGTGTAAGCAAATTAGATTAAACAGTAACACTGAAAAGCAAGGAAATACTTTTAGAACATCAACTCAAAGAATTAAAATAGTTTAACACCCCAAAAAGGGAAACGCGAAAAAAAACCGACAAAAATAGAATATCAATAATCAGGAACAGGAAAGTAGAGCTAATTGGCGAACAGGAATAAGTATTAAAAAGGGGGAGAAAAAACGTTTAGAAGACAAATAGCATTCCTCTCAACCTTACAAAACATTGTGCACACCACAGATGTAGTAATAATAAACTAGATGTAGAAATAGAGGACAATAAGTAAAGCGGATTTTTTAAGTCTAATGCACGTGTTGTCCGCTAGAGGACTCAAATAAGGGGGCAAAAAATATAAACATTTGAAATTTCACTTGTTTTCCATAGTAATTCTATCGAATTTTGTGTGAATGGTTTTAAGTAAGATGATATCATGGCCAAGAATCATTTTTTACTTATATGAGTGTATTTTTAAATCATAATTACATAAACATAGTTTTTTTTAATATATATTGGTTAATCTTTGGGTTTCTGGTTTACATTAATAAATTGTATAAAAATGCCCTTGAATTTTTACTGGTACAAGGATTAGAGTTATTTAAAAGAGCTGAAGAAACTATAAAGTTCATTGGAGCCCTAGGTAGAAACTTTGACTTCCTTTACTCTTTCTTTACCAGCGACGTATATATACGGTTTGGGAAAAATGCCACTGTCCCAGTGACGTATATATACGTTCCCGAGTGAAAACATTTTTAATACCATGCCGTTTGTATACGGCATCATTTTTTTTGCACCTCTGCTAGCCCCATTGCCGCATTTATCCCGCATTGTTACAGTGCCATCAGCTCCAATCCCGTATTGGTACGTTCGAACATGCATTGTGATGAACCCAGGTTGGGTTTTTGTTCTATTTTTAGCATGCGTCTTGTACCGCAAATATCACGTTAGCACGGACTAGGCAGTATTCTGCTGTTGCTGTTGCAGTGCAAATGTATTGTGAAATTTCAAGAAAATGTCAGATTCGAGAAAAAGAAGGCGCTCATGCGATATAGGTGCTTTGTGTGTACTAACGCAAAAAGAATATGATGATATACTGGCATGCTTGGATTCCGATGAAGAGCCTTTTGTAGAAAGTTAAAGCGATTATGTACCAGATAGCGATTATTCAGAAGAGGAAGAGATTGTTAATATTATTTATGGGAATGATGAAGCTATTTCTGAAAACGAAGGTGTTGATAAGGACGAAGCCGAAGTTGTGGTTGCAAGTACATCGAGAAATGAAAGCAGAAGAGCTTTAGCGGATGATTTTAGTATACAGTGGGATGAACAGCAATTTAGACAATATTGAGAATCCTGCCAGGTAAATAGATTATTTATTTCCTTTTTAAATCCGGGTACCGATAATTTAATTATATATGAAAAAAATAATTTTAATCAAACTTACAGAAAATTGGTCAACAAACGATTTGTTATATACATCCATATTTTCTAGTGTAATGTCCCGGAATCGCTTTCAGTCTATACTCAGAATGTTACACTTCGCTTAAGCGGACTCTTATTACAAGGTGTGAGGCGTTTTTTTGCAGGTAAAAAACTCATTTTCTAATAATTTTACGCCATTCCAAAATCTGGTAAATCTGACGAAAGTTTGGTTCTATTCAAAGGAAGGCTGCAGTTGTAAACAGTTTATAAGAACCAAACCAAAATTGTTTCTTCTGTGTGACTGTGAAACGGGTTATGTGTTAAGACTTTATCGTTTATGTAGGTAAAAACACCGAAATAAATCATTATGAGGATATCAGCTCGTCAGGATCTGTGGTTGCCACTCTTATGAAACCCTACTTGGACAAAGGTCACTCCCTCTTTACTGATAACGTGGTACACGTCTCCTAGTTTGTCAAGTTACCTATTTGACCATAAAACTAACTCTTTTACAGGAACAGCCAAGGTCAACAGAAAACACATTCCGAATTTAGCAGAACAACTACAAAAAGGTACAACTTCCTCAATGTCGAGTTGCAATA